TAGTACAAGTTGCATCAGGATTTTCAAGCAAAACATATGCACTATTTAGGCCTATTTACAAATATCAAAAAAAAAAAAAAAATAAATAAACTGGGATGTCCAGACATAGAGGTGCCAAAACTCAAAAATCTAGTCCAGGTAGTGTGGCTGACCTGAGGATAGTAAAATCCAAATATAGGGTTTGTTATCAGTGGTGCCTCGATTATGAACTGGCTGCTAATACAGTCATTCAAAAAAGACAGAGCTTACTCAGCATGAATCCTCTTCTCTAGCACTCAGCAGGTGTTCTTTAAGTCTTCCCTCTTTATTTGAATGAAAACATCAAGGACCATCATCTAATTCCCTCAGATCGTACACATTATACACACGTAATTACAGCCTCTAGCTAAGCATGCTTGGTTGTAAAAACAGCAAACCAGTGAAGAGGAAAAGAAACACATGTTCAAATCCAGGCCAACATCTGTTTTCATCAGCCTGAAATGTTTCCAGTGAAGAGGGCTTTAGCTTGAGCTCAGTCCAATCCAAATACACCATGTTTGTATTTTACTAAATGGGTCCATTCTGTACTATGCTGTAGCAAGATGAAATGTACCGGAGAGTTTGAGGAAGTTAGTCCTCACTTTGCATTCAAGCTGAAACTGTATTCATCATGTGGTCTCCAGGTATTTCAGTTCAGTATTTTTTCTTGCAGTTTTTTGCCAAGCATGAAGTTGTTTCTAGAGGAAAGACAATGACAAAAGGAACTGTGAAATAGCAGTGTGCCTAAAAGGATAGGATGAAATAGAGGTATTCCAACATGTATGTGTGTATGCGATACCAGCAATAACCATTCAGGCCATAAACATTTAGCTGCAAATCTACGACCATATTCTGAAAAAAATCTGAGACACAACACTTCAGGGACAGGTCATTTTTGCCTGATGCACATTGGTTCTGGAATTATTTCAACAGAATGTGTTTGAGGGAGAATGTGGAGAGAGTCCAGTCACCAGTGGAGTAGCCATTTATGTCTGATTGAACTATATCTCTGTTCAATTTCTCATATAGACAGGGACCTATACAGTTAATGATTCATGTTGTGAGATATGTCACTGGAGGATAATGTCCTGAGCTGTACCATCATGCGGTGTTGGGAGTGTTTGCCTCTAGTGAACAGTGGCTGTGTAAAATTTAATTAGCATCATTTGGCTGCTTACCGGCTAACAACAGGTCATCTTCAATTGAGAGAAGATGAGATAAGGTGAAGCAACAAAGGTCCTGTCCTTATTTGTTCTCAAGTTAAAGAAGCATCAAAGCATATTTGAGAAGTGCAGTTAGATTGCTGCAACCAATTTTGGTGGTTGTATACTGGGAGGATGAAGTGGAGACCTATTCTTAACAAGTACCCTATTATTTGATGGCTTTGACATAGCAGGTTTTAAAATTTGTGAAACCAACCAGGTCAGTCCAGTGAAGTAGCCTTAAGGAAGTTCAAATTTGACTACATTCTACATTACCCAGCACATTCAACGCCACCAAGTACTGCCAAGACATTATGCTCATCAGGAGCATAATGCCCAGACGTTGTTGGGAGTGCACAAACAGGCCATGCACACTACTGAGTCACATTATAAGTTGCTGTGATGAAATTCATGCAAGTCAGCCTGTGATAAATTTTTTTCACTTTGATTTTCGGTGTGGTTTTGAATCCAGTTCATAGTCCATTCATCATTATCTGATGTGGGATTTAAGTGTTCCCTTAAATGTCCTCTTATGCTCCATAATGCATTGTGTGACTGAGAGTTGTGTAAGGGTAATGAAATAATAGAAATGTATTGTCTTCTAACACTGCTTGGTATGCTACCATGGGAAGTTCCTTTTGGTTTGAGTAGTCTGCCAGGGGATGAAGCTGAATTTGCATCCTTCTGCAGTTCCCTACACTGCATCACTTGAGCTCCTGTCCTTTTCTGGATTTCCACTTAACTATTCATTGGCGCAGCCATCAAGAAGACACAGCGGGAGATTCAATGACCATAGATTGTAAGCCAGTGGCTCTCAGAGCTGAAACCAGTGGGGCAATATGTCTTTCACCAATGCCACCCCGACATCCACATCAGGCTGGTCCCCCCTCCCCACAAATCAACAAGTCATGTTGATATAAGGGCTGTGGTTAAAGAAAGATAAGAGAGATCCCTGCCCTGAGCCTCTCTGAGGCTGTTTACAAATTGGAAAGAAGAATTTTATCAGCTTCCCAGTCAATGCTGTGTAAAAGCCCACCATGTTCAACCAGCTCACAGTTGTCGAGAAGTAGAGGGTTCTTGTGCCTCAAATTTATTTACACCCTATTTGTACCCTGAGAGTCAGTTAAGAAGAAAAAATATGCGTCATGCAAAGCACCGACCAAGTTCTTTTCAAGGTTGAGTATTAATGAAACCACTGTCAGTCTTAATGCTGATGGTGCAGTGTGTGATTCAGAAAATAGAAAATCAAAAACTGAAAGGACTGTCACCACAAGAAGGCACAGCTGCTTAAGTTGTTAGCGCTTAACAACAATACCTTTCTGATGCTCACCCGTGCCTGTTGACAGTAGCCGAGGGTCACAGGCATTTGTAGAGGGTTTCCTCAAAGGACAAGGCTGGTTTGACTGGTCCAATAAGTCTTAGTTGACTAATGACACATGTAAGATTACCTTGCAAGATTAAATGCAACAACCTTTACCTAAACAAAGGGGAAATGGAAGAGGTTTCTGAGTACTTCAGAAAGATGCATGCTGAGCATACACCACTGACCACCAGTTTGTAGAGTGTCAGTTGCAAAAAGTTCTTCATCAAATACTGTAAGTCCTCTCCTGGACCTTACACATGACAATACACCCTAAAAGAATCACTTGATTGTTTTTACTTCCTGCATCTCCACATATCCTCTCACTGTGTTCTGTAGTGTCCATTGAGGGCTTCTAGACCACTGCATCACTTTATCAGTTGGGAACCTTACCACACTTTCTCACAGTAAACAATAAGCACAGTGCTTTTAACAGCTCCATAAACCAAATCCATGATGCAAGGTGGAATGGCCCCTCAGCATTGTGAGTGACCCATCATCGCATCCTCACTCCCACACCATTCTGCTGGAAGTATTGTAATATCAAGGCTTTTTGTATCAGACAAAAATGTGATCTAGTTTTCTAATTTTATTAGACAACACTTAATGACTCAGGAAAGCATGAGCATACTTTGACAGAGCCCTTTGTGTTCCCTTTTTATGATGAAACTCCTCAAGCAAAAATAACACTATGACTATTTCCATCTTATCACTGCAGTGTGCCAATGACAGCTTATACAATGGATTCAGACAGATATGGTTTGATACATTACATAACTGTCCCATCCATCCCCTCAAGTTGCAAGGTGGTGCTTTATATATCATTGGTACCTCTTGTTTCTTTATCTCACTATGGCGTTATCGGATGGCATGCTCAGTACAGAAGTTAGCGAATTTGAAGTTGGTACCCTTTCCTCTAAACTCATACATTTATGACATATGTAAGACAGATTGCTTTCTTGTAGTAAACTATTGGAGACGAATAACTCAGCACTGAATACTTTTTGATAATGAATACAGACACAACAGGAAAGCGCCCATTAAGCATCAATTTCATATCTTCTTAACATTGTGAATTTATTGCTCCACTTTATTATTGTGCTAGCAGCCACTTGAATGCCTCCAGCTGCTTCTCTGTTTCTTCTAAAACAGCTCTGTCTTATCACACAGACCTAAATCCTGAAACCTCATTCACTTCATGCACCAGTGATGTAATGCATGTGTTTGCCATGTTGGCTGATAAGGCCCAAACTTCCCTGTCTCTCTGGATTTCTGTTCTTCTCTTTCTCTCTGTCAAGGTTCTGCTAAGGTTATTTCTTCTCTCTTTAAAAATCTCATCTTGCTTCAATTGTCGTATTATTGCCAATGCTTAATTTATGTCTATCTGGATTCAAATGAGGCAACATGGCCTCGTTCCAGAGGCAGAAAGAAAGAAAGCCAGGTGTGTGTGTGTGCATGTGTGCATGTGTGTGCGAGACACATGGAGATCTGTAACGCTCACCTCAGAGAATGCCTTGATAAAAGGCTGTTAAATTTCAACAGTTATCACCACTCATGTCTGCTGAAGCATTCAGTGTGTTAACTAGTTGCACTTGAAAGGTATGAGAACATTCAATGTGGTTTTGTTTTTCAGACTCGTTAATTGAGTTGTTGTTTATCCTGTCAATTGCTCCACCTATTATGGAGACACGTGAGGCCTAACAATCTGATACTATGTCCTGTCCGAGTCCTGCACCTCTGATGTGACTAGTTTCGTCCAGTATGGTTGAATCCATCTTTATTTTGGTAATGAGGAATTCTTAAGCAGAATAATATTCATTGCAAACATTTGCTGACATCCTGTGTCACTTTGAATCAACAGGGAACATAAACACAGTGTTTCCACAACAGTAGTCTGTGGGGAGATTTTTCAAGTTCTTAACGACTATTTTATTATTTATGCCATGTGTTGATACACCAGTATCTATCTATAGTAGTATTGATGAGGCCTCTTTCATGACCTATCAAACCATGGATTTACACTTCAGTCTTCTTTGCAATGAACATTAGGGCCTCAGTAGCCTCTTAACTCTCCTCATTGTTTAATGAGGTAGAGCAGGTCGGAATTTTCAGAAGTTTGATCCCTGACTTCACCAGAATACATTTTGAAGTGTCCTTTGGTAAGATACTGATGACATACTATTGGTTTGTAATGTGTGTGTGAATGGGACCCAAAATGATTCGAGTGGCAGTGTAAGACTAGAAATGTGATATATAGTATAATACAGTCCATTTACAATTGAATTTGGTTGTTGGGTGCGGTGTAATTAGAATCATAGAAATGGAAATAAGAGGCCGTATGATTTGGAAATATAGTATTGATGAAATGTAAGAAAATAACCCAATAATATGAAACTTATTGTCATGTTGTTGTGTTCCAGGTATCGCTTATCTGGGTGGTGTCTGCAGTGCCAAGAGGAAGTGTGTGTTAGCAGAGGACAATGGACTCAATTTGGCCTTCACCATTGCTCACGAGCTGGGACACAAGTAGGTTTCCCTGTTTTTTTCTTTTGTTATTTTGATTGTATTTTTCACAGTCCATCACATCATTGAGTCTAGCTCTATTTTCCACATTTCTGCTGTTATCAGTTCATTTTCATTTAAACTATCAACAATAATAATATTGGGATAATCATGTTGGCGTAACAGTTGAAGGCTTTCATTCAAATCACCAGCAAAATGAGCTCAGTCTTTCTTGCAAAAAGGAATCTTATCTAATCTTAAAACCTTGTGGCCGTTTGAGCAATGCAGAGTGTAGGTGGAACACTTCAAAGTTGCTTTATTCAAAGTTGGAAAGTCTCACAGAAGGATAACAAACAAGCTGTATTTACGCTCTAGAGTTATTTGACTGCTGGTGAGGTTTTCTCTGTCTTTTGTCCACAAACAGTCAGTGGACAAGTTCCCTGACTGATGTTTGCTGTAACAACAATCCCTGATTCTCTGTGACACTTCAGACGGGCTCATTTCCAAACTCACCAGGAACTCAAGTTTCTCTCCTTTTTGTCCAACTTCTCCCCCTTTTTTCTCAGCACCGAGACATACATCTGTGAATGATCACAACTGAAATGTTATCCTTTCAAACTTCCCTCTTTGTGACCTAAAGCAAATTTGCCCATAGTCCAACCTTTTACGCTTATTTGCATCTATGCAGTGAGTGTGTACTGGAATCCTTTAGGAAATACTGTGTGACAGAATGATCTCAACTCATGGTTCACTCACTCACTCACAAAGCCTAAAGCTTCATGGTCCTCAGTGAATGCAACGGGCTTGGTTGTCTTCATGTGACCTAAGTGTAGAAGGTGCTCATGTGATGATAAGTCATTGTATACAGATGCGATCTTTGACTCAGTTGTGAATAAATTGGTGATAACACACTAACAAGAGATGTATACAAATATGCCTTAACAATATTATTTTGCATATTTTTAAGGAGCATTCAAAACCATCAGGTATATAACTTTATAAATAAGCAAAATGTTACAAAAAAAGATAGTGACCTATGTGCCAAAGGTGTCAAATAGAAATGCGTGTCTTGTGAACCTGAGGACAAACAGAGAAGTTTGTGGGTGAGTATATATAGTCTCCTATGATATTCACAGCAATTTGGGCAGGGCAACTAAAAAGAAATGGCAATTTGAATTCAATCTGAGCTTTTTTCTCAAAAGCATTCCCTTTACCTGTAGTCAGGTTACCAAACAAACTTTTTTTCTTTGACAAGTGCAGTGACCGTTCACAACCTGCCTGTTTGGAATGGTCTGTAGCTGCAGCTACAGAGCGCCTGTTTATTCAAAGTTACTTATTTCCAAATCTATCCCAAGTCATCAATGCACTTTCTTGGGCCTTTATCAATACACATTCCAAGTATAAAACAGATATGATGAACAGATCTGTAGATATGTGTTCCACAAACAGACAGACGGATGATGAAAATGGGATCTGAATGAACACAAATGCTTAATAATAAAGGACTATTACACAAAGGCAAAAAAGCTGGGACTCAGCTGCTTCTTTCTCCCCTCTGTGTGGCAGTAAGATGTGTGTTACAGCTGGAAAATCATCTGGAAAAGATGCCAAAGTGTATGAACCTTTGTAGCAGCTTTGTGGCTGCTCCCTCCCCCTCTGGAATTATCACAGTTTTCATGGAGCAACTCTGCTCCAGCTTTGGGGGCCAGGAAAGGTAACAAGCTGGCACACAGACTCACTAGGAGTAGGAATTGTCATTTAGGAATTTAAGTAAACTCTTGGCTTAGACTGGAATTGTATTGAAGTTTTTATCGGCAGGCTCAGCAAAGTAGATGATATGGGATTAAAACTCTAACATTTATGCAGCTTTACCTATTCCACGTATACATGTTTAACTGGTAATGGTTGTCATGTTCACACAGGATTCTTATACCTTCCTTAAGTGTGGCACCATTACGTGTGTGTGTGTGCGTGTGTGTTTGTGAGAGAGAGACAGAAGACCCCCTGGAATTGTGGGGACCATGTGGCTGAGATGTATGTGTTAAGTTTGGGGGATGAGTGTGTGACATGTTGGTGCCAGGTTTAAAGAAAGTAGTTAGTTGCTAGCAAAGAAAGACCCTTAACCTGTGAATAGCATAACATACCTAACATTCACTATCAATAACTCATTACCAAATATTACGACAACACAACTCAAACTTATAAACATCACACAAATTAGAATTTAACCATCCTTTGCTTAGCTAAGTTTAAATATTAAGCCCAGTTGTGTTACCACTTCATGAAGAGGGGGAAGGGTCCATTTTGATGTGCTGTTTGAAGTCCTGTGAAGTGGTTTTGCTGGTTGTGGCTCTTGTTGTCATGCATTCATATCTGCTGGTCAGACTTTGTCGTGGCCAATGGTGCTGAAGTGTAGCCCTATGAGACAAATGGTGATTTTTGAAAATGGGTTATACAAATAAAATTGATTCATTGATGAAGTATGTAGGAAACCAGACATGATGCATAGAATCAATTGTCCTCATGCACTCATCTCATGATATCAGGTTTTTGTTCACCAAGGCCCTTTTACCATGATCGATCAGTTTGTTCAGGCTGCCAGCTTAAGGAAGAGTTCTTTTGTTCCGATCTTCTTCCATTTGGAATCATGAAGGCCCCTGTGGGTCTTGGTAATGTTAAATACAGCTAAAACTTGTTGGAGCCTTCACACGGTCCAATTTTCTGAGCTCTGCAGGCAGCTTCTCCAACGTCATGGCTTGGGTTTTGCTCTGATTTTAGCTGTGAGACTTCAACAGGTAATAAATATCTATTGTCATAGTAAAGGGTCTGAATACTTCAATGTTAATGTGAGAGTAATTTAGCAAATTTTAATTTTACTTTGTTATTGTGGGGTTTGAAAGTATTTGGTTTCAACGGTTTTTGGATGTCTGGGTTAAATATATCCATTTATGTTCCTGGCATTTAACTGTATAGCATTCAATGTACTGCACAGTAAAATACAGTCAGTAATTTAAAATACTTGCGCTCACACACACACACACACACACACACACACACTCCGAGGTTGCCGACAGACCCGTAGATCAGTGCAGGGACTTATTACAAATGAGACAAGAGGTGTGTTATAACTCACATGACTGGTTGCTCCCTCATTGGACAGTTTTAGTTTTCTTCTGTGGTGTCACAAACAGCTCACCAAGAAATAATTGCTTATGACCATAACTAAAGTAGGAAGACTATAACACACTTCTTGCATTGTTACATCACACATCTGCTATTACACCACTCAGTGGTTGGTCTTCATTTTTCGAATTTGATTGACAAAGTTCACTTGAACCAACACAAACAGGTTGAGTGTGAAAATAGTACTGTTCATTTTCAAACCTGTTAATTTTGTCCAAACCAAGGAAAAAAGAATGATCGGTTGCCTTTTCTCTTCACAGACTTATTACAAACAAACTGAGAATTAACATGAACTCATTACATATCTGGACACATAACCCAGTCATTGGCCAGGTTTGATGATGCCATCCTGCCAACAGTTAATGTGATGCTGGTGTAACAAGGTGGACTGTAGACTGCTAATCAAACAAATCTCCTAATATGTCAAATGGACTGAAACTGTAGTATTATGGGTATTACAGGGTAGTTGCTGTGAGAAGTTCTCCCCCATTTTATTAGAGTACAGGATACCAGCCTGCACTCATGCACCGGTGTTAATATGGTTAAGAAATCATATTGCAGAAAAATATACGTTGCGTTTGCGGATGGTTTGTTATTAAAGTGCAGGGTTCCCAAATAGCTCACAGTTACCAGTTGAACTCTGACTTGAAGCTGACTGAAATCACAAATGCAGCAAACGCATCAGAGCTTGACTTTGCATCTGTATTCGGTCAGAAGACTGAATTAGTTTTCATACAGATATGATGTTCTGTGGTAGGTATGTTGTGCTTTACAGTGTGTACTATTGTACAAACTGTTATGACAAGATATCTTAGCCATTTTTTAGATTATATTGCCTGTCTGCATGGGCCTGGTCAAGTTGGACTGTTCTGAGGCACTAATGTGTTTCCTCTGCTTTGAAGGCACTGCACTATCCTTTGCTAAGGATGAGGACAAGTATGACAAGTATTAGTCCTTCACTGCAATTCTATATTGCTTTCATTTATACCAGAGGAAAAGAGTCTGTATTTGTAATTTATTAGTTTCTGAGTCTGTGCCTGGAGTTCAGAAGTTGTTGTTTTTAATTTGCAAATGTAGGTCATGGCTTTGAGTGAACACACACCACACCACACTACACACACACACACACACACACACAACACACACACACACACACACACACACACACACACACACACACACACACACACACACACACACCATAACTGTGCCAGAGTGAAGTCCTCCCTGTTTGTGTCTCACTCACATACGTGCAGTGTGTGTCTGAGTAGCTTCCCTCAGGCTCTGACTCTGCTCCATCAATATGTCGCGGGTGTGTTGCCATGAGACGTGCTGCTGGTTGAGGGGGATTCACTGAACTGTAGTTTTTCGATGCTGTTATATGTGCTGCTCAATAAAAATCTAATTTCTTTGAAAAGTAAAATTCTAATAAATGCTAATTAGTTTCAGTACAATACACTTAGTTTTCTTGTTGCTTTCACAGAGAATCCAAACATACAGTGTAAGCACAGTTGACCAAGATGTAGAAAGAATTTGTTTCTACTATTAGTTTTTTTTTTCTAATTAACTGTGATTCGTCTCTATCTTGCTGGTTTTTTTGCTATTATTTTCACAATTACTGTAATTATTACTTAGATGGGCATGAATTTAAGCTCAGAGTGCTATGCACATTACTGTGTACTGTAAAATGGAGCACATGAGAGCTCCTGGTGGCTGGCTGCAGAATAGATTGTAAACCCTGCACACCCATCCTAGCAGATAGGACATTTCTGTCATTTTAGGGTAGTTGTAATCACACTGATGTATGCTCAAGTTTTCATTGTCCTCCTGAGCTTGGTTCTAGCTTTTTTGATGCTATGAAAACAGGCTGAGACAATAAAAATATCACACTGACTCCTTTATGTAATGGTACTGATCCAGCAGGTCTCCTTTAGCATGGTTTAGCATTTCATTTAGAGTCATAGAGTCATTCATTGGAAACAGGCTTTATAATATACCCGATCCACAGACAGGGACTGTGATGACGACCAGCTCCGCAAATCTTTGACACAGTGTCTTTATATCCTTGTCTTTTCAGCATGGGGATGAGCCACGATGATGACCACGCCACCTGCACAGGTCACTCCCACATCATGTCTGGTGAATGGGTGAAAGGAAGAAACCCCAGCGACCTGTCCTGGTCCTCCTGCAGCCGTGATGATCTGGAGAACTTTCTCAGGTAAGGCACAGCTGCACTGGGTCCTGACAGGTGACCCCAGAAAAATGTGTGTAAAATATGTATTCATTTTTACTTATAGGTAAAGATAAACTAAATGATTTCAGGAAATTAATAAACATGATAATTAACAAAAAAAAATGAAATGAAGATGCTGTAAATTTAAACCAGTGTCAGTTTGAGTCAGTTTTGCTCAATTGCAGCTATCTTTGTGTTACTTAACATTGCACAAGTTGGAGCAAAAAGAGACAGCAGATAACCTCAGACTGACAGTATTCTGGGTGAGGGTCAGTGTGTAGAATTTAGTGACATCTAGTGGTGGTGTGCATGTTGCAGTTGAATACCCCTCACCTCACCCTCTCCTTTAAAACATGACAGAGAACCTGTGGCAGCCTTCAGTCGTCATAAAAACTCAAAAGGTGTTTAGTTTGTCCAGTCTGGGCTACTGTAAAAAAAAAACATGGCATGGTCCATGGAGAGGACCCCCTCGATGTAAATATAAAGTTTTAAAATATAAAGGACTCATTCTAGGATGAAGAAAACAACAATGTGTATAATTTCAATGAAACACACTAATGAAAACATCACTAGGATTATTTTATATTCAATTTCTGCCAATAGATCCCTTTCACCTAAATCTTACACGCTGGACAAGTTTGAGCCGAACCAGAGCAAATTTAATTTCAAACAGGGACTATATGAGTGCAAGGGCAGGGCTTTGATGAAAAGTAATGCACAATCTGAACATAAATTGTCATGCGCTCGAACTGAAAGACCACGCTCTTATTTAAAGATAAGATGTGTTTGACTGTGTTGGTGTGTCTTTTTGAAACTGTATCCATGTAGGTCTCTAACCTGAGGTCAATCTGATAAATCCTGATAAGTGAATGAAGGCCCAGTGAAGTTCTGAGTGTCGGGCTGCACAGACACCTCACATTTGGCTGTCACTTCTTACTGTATGTTGGCTTAGCTCAGCATGTTGTTAGATAACCTGTTTGCATAGTTTTGTGCCACAAATGATGAGCCCTTAAAAATGATAGTTGGTCAATCTGTGCTTTGTCTGCTTATCTATCCAACTGCTGACAGTTGCTGGAACCATTGATATTTTTAAGCCTACAAAAAATCGTCTAATTTGACCAAGCAGTAGGTCTTTCTGTCTCATGTCTACACTGCTGGTATCAACATCCATCCCGAGTGATCTGATCACAGGTGGACAGTACTTGGACAGTCAGTTTGAGCACACCCTAATGTGTCCTCAACGTGTCTTTAGATCTGATCCCTTAGATCACGTTTGGTGATGCTCTAGGACTCGTGATCACAATCTGCTGTGTGAATGCAAATGTGGGCCATATGAATGTGGACACATTCCACTGAATGTTGGAATGAAGGACCACCTACTCAACTGAACCCAAAGTATTTTTACCAGTATCAGTAACCACATGTTGATTTGATTGTGGCCAGCACCACAATTTGAACACTAACCATCACGTAATGATTGCTATTATTTAAAATGGATAAAATCTCATCACATAGTAGAACTGATTCACGTAGCCTCGCTTGACTCCACTCTCTCCTTCTCTCTCTTGCTCATGCCGACACACTGACATACAAACACGCACACAGAGACAACGACAACGCAGTAAGAACAACACCTTTTGGTTTTCACGAACACAAAAAAACACTGTTAGACTCCATCTCCTGAGTAACATCTAGCCACTGGCCATTCCTCCAAAATACTGAAATTGAAAAACTGAGAGCCTCCAAATCAGACTTGGGTTGAGCCTCACAACTCAAAGTCTGACAAAAAAAACACGAGGGCATATTTCCAGGCCTAGTTTTGAGTGGATGTAAAAATCAGGATTTATGAGGAAAACCTGTTTTGCATTCATGACTCCCATGTCTCCCATGTCCCCCACACTCTCAGAACTTAACTCGTAGATTGATAACAAGTCAATTGTGTTATTTGCTCATTTAATAATTGTGTCATGAGTAAACACTGATGTCATCTGAAGTTATAAACTCAGTTTAAGATTATGGATCCATTGGCACGTTTACCAACAGGCTGAATGTGATTTATCAGTCTTGGCTAATGATCTGTTCACTGATACCAAAACCACAAACATAGAGAAAATGGAAACAGACTTTCTCTTCAGCAAAGTCAATACTAAGAGCAGTGTTCTTCTTACAACACCAAAGACCAGTGCCCTACATCACCCAAGTGGCGTGTAACACTGATGTTGACACGGAATCTATTTTATGTGGGAATCTTGTGTTTCAGACCTGCAATATAGAAAATGGAATTTTGGCTGCAGGACCACTGATTTTATATCATTTTTATTTTTCATCACATTTTATTCAGTTGATAGTCATTAGTTTTTAGACATTTCTTAATTTGTCATGCATATTGTACCCTGTGGCTTATTAAATAATAATAATACATTTTATTTATAGGTGTCTTTCAGAGCACTCGAGGTCACCTCACAAGGTGGAGATAAAAAGGTTTGGTGGAAAGGTAGAGCTGGGTGTCATCCGCATAGCAATGGAAATGAATGTTCAATTTTATGGAAGATATGGCCAAAAGGAAGAGCAGTAAGTAAGTGGTGGGGGACACCAGTAGTGACTGGAAATGGCTGGGATTTGAAAGATTTGAGCTGGATGAAGTGAGTGTGGCCGGAGAGGTTTTGATCGGTGGTGCCAATGGAGGGTAGTCTGTCGAGGAGAATATGGTGAGAGATGGTGTCAAAGGCTGCGGTCAGAGGAGGATGAGAATTGTTAACAGTTCAGAGTCAGCTGCCATGAGGAGGTCACTGTACTATGGAGGGGCGGAAACCAGAGTGGAATTGAAAAAGATTGTTGTCAGATAAGTGAGCATGGAGTTGAGATTTTCAAGCATTTTGTAAAGAAAAGGAAGGTTAGAAATAGGACGCAAGTTATTAACATCTTTGGGGTCTGAACCATGTTTCTTTAAGTATAGGAGTTATTGCAGCTGATTTGAAAGATGAGGGACCAAGACCAGAGGTTAGGGAGGAATGTATGATGACAGTTATTAGGGAGGCTAGAGAGGGTAGGCAGGCTTTTACTAGGATGTAGGAAGAGGGTCTAACTGACAGGTAGATGGTTTGGATTTTTAAATGTGGTCAGAACTTTCAACAGCAGAGGGAAGATTGGAACTTGAAAGTAAGAGAGAGGGGCTGAGAGAACCAGAGAGGATGGACTATAGGAGTTAGGAGTCAGTTGCTGGTGAATTTTGACAACTCCGGCATTAAAGGAGACGTTAAGGAGTGACAGTAAGAGGTTGAGTACACATGAGGTGCAAGGGAGTCCAGCAGTTTAATTCAGTTGTGAAAAGTAATTAGGTTGTTGTCAAGTTTCAGTCAAACACAAGAAGTCAAACCTATGTATGTATGGAAATCTGTCTGCATCATTTGCTCACTGATTAAGAGTAAAGCGAGGAACGTCCCACTTTTAAGGTACCAGTGTTTAGGATTTTTGTGGCAAGAGATGATATTGCAGATGGCAATCAACTGAATACCCTCTCCACTTAACCCTAACTTTTTTAGTGTGTAGAACAATCTAGGGTGGCCTTCAGGTAACGGAAGGCACGGATGGTCATCTCAACATCCAGTATTTAGTTTGTCCACTTTGGGTTAATTTTAGAAAACTGTGGTGCAACATGGCAGCCTCCAAAGAAGAGGACCCTGTCTTGATGTAGATATAAAGGCTCATATTAAAGTAACGAAAACATGTTTAATTAGTTAGTTTCAGGTGATAGCATACAAATGAAAACAACACTCTGAATATTATGTTCAATTTCTACCAATAAATCCTCATAAACCTCACACACTGGACCATTGGTATGGTGTTTATGATAAAGTGGCTTCATCATTATATGATTACATATATTGTGTTATTATCATCTATTAATGCCAGGTCTGTTTTGGATTCAGATTTGATGATGAGAATAAGATTCTTTGAAATGAAAAAGTTAACACAGTCCAGATCCTTTTTTCTTTTGTGTCTTTGGAACAGATCCAAAGCCAGTGGCTGCCTTTTGTACACAGACCCAAGGAGCCGGTACCAGGTCCGGCTGCCCCCCAAGCTGCCAGGTATGCACTACAGCGTGGATGAACAGTGCCAAATCCTGTTTGGAACCAATGCCACTTTCTGCAATGACATGGAGGTAAGACACAATCTATTTGCCCTGTTTTTATAAATCTCACATCTAACAACCAGGAGGTCAAATGAGATTTGGAATGTCTAAGAGTGAGTTACTACATAGGTATTTTATTTATAAAGCCATGTAACACCACATGTGACTAGTTATTACATAATGTGGTGTCACAAGCCCCTCTCATGCACAGAAATCACAGTTTTCAAGACAATTTTGATCCTGATCATGGATCACGGTCAGACATTCTAATATGTACAGATAATTTAAACACTGGTACACCTCTTCATCTGTCAGACACTGTCTTTTCTCATCAGCGTTGTGTCTTTTGCACTTCTCTCCATCCTGGGAGAGGGATCTCTCTACGAGTTAAGGGCAGAGGATGTCACACCCTTTTAAGCCCTATAGTATGAGACGAGTATTGATTTATGAACTTGTATTCAAATTTAGTAAAAGGGAAACTAAGTACAAATAAAATAGAAAGAATAACAAAATAGAAATAGAATGAAATACAGTAATGGATGACCTTATAGAAAAGTTTAGTTTAAGGTGCTCATGAAAGAAAAAGTTTTCAAACTGGTTTTGAAAATTGAATCGATAGAGCATTTCTAAGATCAGACAGTTGATTCCAGCACGGTGCTGCAGAAACTACAGTGGCATATCTGTATGTGTTTTAAAAGGTAAAACTCAAATCAGAGATGACAGGTAAATTACCTAGTTCATAACCTTTCACCTCTTACCAGTGGATGCTGTCAGCAGTTGTACAACTCATTTACAGTAAAGACATGAGGCCTTGAGTCATATTGCACAAGTGTTTATCTTTCCTTTTTTTTTTTCCTCAGTTTTTAGTTGTAAAAATCCTTGAGATTCCAGGGGTTGGACGTCTGTGACTGAAGCATGATATTAAGCAGGTTGCTGCAGTGTGAACCCACCTGTTAGTGACTTAATAAATAGGCCTATACACAGTTTGTAATTTCAGCCAGGGAATCACAAGCATTCTGAGCTGCAGGGTTGTCATTTGACTGAGAAATACTTTTCAGACAAAACATCTGTTTCTGACCATTTTGTTTACTCGTCCTGGCCTCTACATTCAGTGCGGTAGCTTTCACATGATGCTAATTCTTACATAGTGCCATCATTTGAGGATGAGGATGGCTTTTAGGCAACTGAGAGCAGCAGAGTGTTGAGTGTGCTACGACTCTGTTGTTGTACTGACAGTAAATTCATCTGATGCTCGATTTACCTTGTGAATGCCATCATGAGTCTTAAAATGCATGGTATCTCTCTCTCGCACTCTCTCTCTCTTCTTCATTGACTTGGTTTTGTGAATTAAATCATAGTAAAATTAAACTAGCTCTCATTCTGCTGGTAAATCTTGTGGGACCCCTTCAAGAATATCTGACATTGCCCAAAAAACATGGAGTTGATTAGATGATTCCTAATGTTCTGTATGTATGCATGTATGCACTTGGTGGGGGAAATGTCAGATTATAAATGGTTTCCCTTGCATTCATGTCTGCCTGGAGTCCTGGAGTTCTTTTTTTCCTTCCCCACGTCCACTCCATGTCCAGAGGATCGCACAACATGAAAACCTCTCTCTCTCTCTGTTTGTGTGTGTGTGTGTGTGTGTGTGTGTGTGTGTGTGTGTGTGTGTGTGTGTCAGCACTTGATGTGTGCTGGCCTGTGGTGTCTGGTAGAAGGTGATTCTTCATGTAAGACCAAACTGGATCCGCCTCTAGATGGGACAGAGTGTGGAGCAGACAAGGTAGGACCATCTGACTCACAGCATGCTTCTGATAGAAGTGTACCAAGTTCTGGTCCAAGATGTTGATCTCCCTTATTTTTATGTATTCTGTGTGTGTGTGCATGTGTGTGTGTCAGTGGTGCAGGGCAGGCGAGTGTGTCAGTAAGACACCCATCCCTCAGCATGTGGACGGTGACTGGAGTCCATGGAGCCAGTGGAGCATGTGCAGCAGGACCTGCGGTACTGGAGTCCAGTTCAGACAGAGGAAATGTGACAACCCTCCGTATGTCACCTCTCTGTTTTTGTGTTTGTTTGAGGAGGGAGAGCGAAAAATTTAAGATAGAAAATAAAGCGCATACACTGCCAACTCAGGAACCATTTCTATCATTCACACATATAATTACTGAAAAATCTGGGTTGTCTTTTGCCAGGCCTGGTCCTGGTGGGCGACAGTGTCAGAAGGCCAGTGTGGAGCACAAGGCTTGTGAAAGTCCTCCCTGTCCCAAGGGCGCACCCAGCTTCAGAGACCTGCAGTGTCTGTCCTACGACCGACATGCAAGCAAGAAGAAGGGCAACATGCTGACAGCTATTATTAATGATGGTGAGACAAACACACACAGACATACGTACTGTACATACTGTGCTTCCTGCTAATACCCCCTCACTCATCAGCTTATTTCTCATTGCAAGCATGAAAAGTGGTATACAATACCCAACTGTCCAAGAGCAATACTTCAATTTCTTTTTAAAGGTGCCAGTGGAAGCTGCTTCCAAAATTAAGCAGTGATAATAAAAAAGACATAGCGACCTTTGGTTTAGTTTTGGATCAAATTCTAAACTGAAAGAGGAGCCAGTGTGAAAAATGTCATATGACAACTTTTGAAGACTTTTTGTAATACCGTCCTATCAGTCTCCAGAGTTCAGCTGCCTATCTACTGCTGTGGCAGGTCAAATGATGCATGTCAAGTGCAGGCCCTAGCATCAGTAGGTATTATTGCTGCAGTACACTATAACAATGTGTTTTTCCAGTGGGGTGAGGCTGAAAATAGGACAGTGGCATGAAGTTTTATGATGTAGCACCAGTATAGCTGTCACTAGTGTGGTGGTTGTACTTATGAAGTAATAAGTATGGCAAACCTAAGTTATTTAAGATTAAAGCCATTCTATAGTTTTTTTGGAAGCCTCTTCTAAAAAGATTCAGATTAAAATTTTAGTAGTTAAATGCAACTGTTTCTCACTTTTTCTCACCCTGTATATTTTGTGTTTTTCTGCTGCTGCTTAACTTGGTCTGTTGCGAGCAGTAACTTATTGTGGCTATTAACTAGAAAATGTTAAAAAGATATTTTTGTGATCCTGACATGACTGAATTGGTTCACTTTAATGTCTCACCAGAGACCATCAGCTCTCAAGTTACATCGTAGGTAAAGTAATTGTCAGGTTTGCACAAGGAAGAACGCATAGCATGAAAAAATACATTATTTCTTGTTCAGTTGAATTGATGTTGATCCTTTTTTGTCCTTCATGAAATCAACAATGCTATAGAAGTGCAGTATGGTTGGAGTGATCCTTTAAGCTGAAGGAAATCACTACCAATCTTTGGAATTTAAGCAATCGAGATGGATTTTGAGGCATGCATGAAATAATGGTATCTGCTTAGCAGTGGTATGAGATGTCTTCTATTAATGATCATCCTAAGAAAGAAACAATTGTTTTTAACAGTGTTGAAACTGTGACAGAAAAACCCCATCACTGTAACTTTTCACATTTACTGCTCATCTGAGCAAAGAGCACACACTGACATTTGTAGCTTTCTAAGTATCCTTGCATGTTGAGGTGTTATCAGATAATAAATTAGAACAGTAAATGCTGTAAAGGACAGGTGGCAGCAGTAAATTAAAAGTGCTCACGGAGACATGCACTGAACTCTGCAGTCCCTCCGTATTTTCTCTGAGGGAGGTGCATTGTGTCCGAGTGAGACACTTTGCAGTTTTTGCAGACTTTCTGGCCTCCTAGTGAAAAGTCCAGAAGAATCCGATATGTGAACGCAGTGGGGGGGATTCCCCGTTGGATTCACAGTGAGTTAGTGGTGGGCGCAAAAATGAAAAAAATACAAAAAAGAAGACAAACATCTCCAAGTGAAAAAGCGCTACTACACTTATTACAGCTATTTTCAGTAAGACTTAAAGGGATAGTTCACAGAAAAATGAAAAAATGTACTCATTATCTAGGGGTGGGTGAAGTGTTTGAGTCCACAAACACTTTAGGAGTTTCAGAGGTGAATACCATTGCAGCTGAATTTAATACAATTGAAGTAACTGGTAACCTTTTATTCAAACAAACACATCATGCCTCCATACTGCTTGTGTTATGTCATCAAAGTGTCCGGAAGCCCCGACATTCACATTTGACTCGAAAGGAGATCAGTTACACCACGTTTTTAGTCTAAATGTCGCGTTCACGCTTGCTTGCCTATGCACTGCGCAAACACTCAGCCAAGGGGCGAGATCAGCGAGAACGCACATCTATGTTTACGTGCTACCGGAACTTGGTATTTACACAAGAGAGAGAGAGCTGCTGGAGTTTCAGCAATCAACAAGTGCATTTGTCGGGTCGGAAATTGCATTTTAGGTCTTTACCAAACGGTTGTGGCTTACAATACAGACTATGGCTGTGGCTAATGGCTCTTTGTCTGGATCACAACTCCTCCGTTCATTCACCCAGTTCAGTCCGGGTGTGTACTGAACACTTTTTTCAGCGGATGATTACCATCCACATGTGCCTGGAAGAAAAAATGATATACTTCTGTTGAAGTCTACAGCAGTGCCAACGGCATCACCAGTAAGGACAGAGGTATGTACTTTATTTACCTGTATATTTATTAACACTTCTCAGAAACGTGACCACAAGATGTAGCTCTGTAAAGCCATAACGGTACAGAAACTAGAATGACATGTGATTGCTTGTTGCTTGTGTTTGCTGATAGAAGAATTACAACACTGGTTGCACTGCAGATCAGCTGTGTGGTGGTTGTCTGTTGTTTACACATACATTATGCTAATGGAGGTGGAGCTGGCTGGTAGATCTACTGTATTTCCTTGAAAACAAGTCGGATTATATACTACACTAAATGTCAGGACACTAGGGTATAAAGACCTGCATCTTCCGGTCTTGCGATAACAATCAAAGTCCCGTTAGAACAAATTAATGGATTCAGAAAGAGAAATGCTGTAGTGCTTTTACTTTACTTACAGTCATATGGCCATATTCAAGTCAAACTAATGTAAAAAACATTGTGCTGCAGTAGCAACTCTTCTGCAGAACATTTTGTTGAACTGAGAACCTAAATAGATGCTCAAAATAAGAATTTATATTAATATGAATAAATTTTGCATTGAATAAATAATAGTTGGATAACTGCCTTTCTTTCGTTTTTAGGAAGATATCAGAGTGGTAGATCTGAGCTAATATTTGGAATTAAAAAGTGACCTTGGGATTTTAAAGGTTGCTGACCGTTGTCAGAGTCACACATTACCATTTATTTGCTGTTAGAAAATGATGATATCATAATCAGCGTATGATTATATCTAACTTACCTCATATCACAATACCTGTTTCCAGGAGACTCTGAGTATTCCTTCACCCCATCCTGCTGCTGAAGACCAGGCAGTGGCAGCTGAGACCCTGGGTGATGCTGCTGAGGCTCTTTTTGCTGATGTGCCACATTCCACTCCACTCGAGCAAAAGGTATCCAGACTGATCAACCTGCACAGCCACATGCAAGAGTAAAGCTGGTGCTAACAAGCCCAGAAACAACAAGAGAAAGGACACGTCCATCCACGTCTACCATGCCTTCCCTTAAGTACTCACACATGCATATTGTAAAATAATTTAAAAACTACATCCACTTATTCAAATTGTAGTTCATTGGTCATCCATTTGATGGTATTAGTCTACAGATGAATAGCTTTTGAATGTCTCTTTTGTAATAGATCAATTAGTATGTATTACTCAACAAAACCTGAAAGCTAGAAAATATTAATTATGTCTAGCCTGATGGCTGTCTGAAGCACACACTAGACACAACTTCTTGTTGGACTAAAGTTTTTAGCAAAATGTCAGCATAGTTGATGCAACTTTTCAAGACTTGCTATCAGCGTTGAGGGGGATACTGGGACCAAGTGTCACACCACTACTGGGAGCCAAGTCCACATAAACTGCCAATACTCAAATGGACATAGAGATTTTATTTATAGAGAGAATGTAACAGCCTGGGCTTCTCTGCCAAATACAACATCGACACCATCATGGAGGACAACGCTAATGGGAGTATCCTCTTTGAGTTAGTGCAGGAAAGTATAGCAGTACATCATCATATCATGTAACCACAACCTGAGAACATGTGTCATTTGGCATGCATGTTTATGCAACATCACTTTTGCACACAATTTCTACCTGACTTTTTCTAGTATGTTACATATGGAATCTATACTTGTGGTATAGGCTACAGAGGCAACAAGCACTGCTGCTATGGAGCCAATAGGATATCGGAGAGGACTGGATTATCTGCTGGAGAAAGGTGTAGAGGTGGTGACTACTGACAGTGAGTAAAAGTACATTCATAAAATTTTTTAACAAGTGCCGTAACAAATTGTACTAGTAAGAAATACAGTTCAAGCAAGGTATTTGTCTGTGAAACTTAATTTCCAATATTCTCTCTTTTGTATCGCAGGATCTTATAAAAAAGTGGCGATCGCTACTATATAAAATTTTTGGTGTGCACTGCTGGGAGGTATATGAAGAAGAGAATAAGTGTCAGCATGATGCTCTCAGTCCAGAGCAATAGAGGCGACAGAGGTAGCTTCAGAAAGACACCTTCAAAACCCTGTTGGCTATTGCCCTGGAACCTAACACACACGGTCAGTGTTTCTTTTGTTTTTATCACATTTTTGGCACAATCCTTGAAGAGCACCTGATTTTTCCTCATCTTTTTTATTGCCTTTTTTACTCTCATGACCCTGCATCCTTTCTTCCCTGACATAATTGAACTTACCACCTGCATATGTGCTTCTTTTCAGGCACTAGCGTCTGGCACTAGCTCCGCTGCTAGTCACCTTCGATCCGCAGAGAACGGCTTGGTTTTCATTTGGCTACACAAAGCAGAACCACAGCGAGAGAGAACCATCGATGTTACAGTGCTCTAGTTCTTATATAGCTTGGGGGGCGGGCTATGCTAATTGTTCCCATTCATTTCACATGTTTTCAGTAATCACTTAATGTACAGGATGTTAAAGATTTGCAAAATACTGCAGCAGTTGACTCAGTAATATAATGACATGAAAGATATGACAATGAAACATATTAAACGTAAAGTGCTTATAATATTCTTTGCATGTTTGAGACAATTTGACAATAAAATGTGTTTATATTTAGTTTTACTTATAGAGTCTTCAGATATATCCTCTTTTTGTTCTCCTTGGGGTGTTTTTGTAAAGAAATCACTGTATTTGCTGCAGTTCTCTTGAAGCCGGTCAGCTCACAGCAGAAGTAACTCATTGACTTTGGACTTACCTGAGACAGAGTCGAGAGTCGACCAATCACATTAGATAAAAACTTAAATCAATACCTATTGGCTAAAAGTGGAAGCCCCCGGGGCACAGAGAGCTGCATTCCATGGAAAATCTGCAACAATCAATTTAAAACAGACTCAGGTCTCGTGGTAGTTAGCCAGTCGGTTGTTTTTTCCTTTCACTGTTTGTATTGGTTACTCACAATGGCTCAGGATTATTCACTGCCATTTGCAGCGTATCGTGAGCAAAACTTTAATACATTACCTCCACCAAAAGTGGTGAAGACAACAACTCTCATTAATCAATCAAATTTATTTGTATGGCACGGTATCACAACAAACAGTTGTCTCAGGGTGCTGCACAGATTCCAAGATCTTAAAAAAGACAAAATCCAACTTGTTCCACACCAAGCAAGCATGATCCCAAACTGCAAGCAAAACAACTTCGTCTCTTTTCAGTGCATCTTTGTCAATGAACTGAAATATTAATATACTTGCGATTTGTCAGCTGTTGCTGGGCAGTGGAAAACTTTTAGTTGGCCTAGATTCTAAACTGCGATACAGTTACGGAATGGGGATGGGCAATATGCAAAAAGGCTGTGGACTATAATCCACCACAGGGGACAATTCACTGGTTATAGAATTAAAATCTCATGCAATTCCTGTGATTTTAATCTTACTTTGATTACTAATGCTTTGATATGTTTCCAAATATCCACTGCTGCCAGGGTTCTGTTATTTAGTCATAGTTAAACCTCCACTGCTCAAATCATTACAGCTGTTTGACTAATGCTGTCTTGCATTTAATTGATTATGGAAGCAGGTTACTTATATTTCAAATACATTTGAATATGTTTTTGTGAAGGTAGATATAAGTCATGCCTCCATCCTTGTTCCATCCATTGGAGACTGGATTCACAAGATGAAACTACTCTTGTGGAGGTCGAGACTGAACTTTAAAGCTTAAAGGTACAGTGTGTAGAATTTAGTGATATCTAGTGTTGAAGTTGCATGTTGCAGCTGAACACCCCTCACCTCACCTCTCCTTCCAAACATGAAAAAGAACCTGTGGTAGCTTCAGTTGTCATAAAAACTCAAAAGATGTTTAGTTTGTCCAGTCTGGACTAATGTAAAAAACATGGCAGCCTCCGTAGAGAGGGTCCCCTCCATGTAAATATAAAGTATTAAAATATAAAGGGCCTTTTCTGGGGTAAAGAAAACTACAATTCATACAATTTAGATGAACTAGTGAAAACATCATGAGGATTATTCTACATTAAATTTCTACCAATATCCCTTTCACCTAAATCTTACACACTGGACCTTTAAATGATTCTCAGTGTTTACTAAAACCTTAAATTTAACCATGTACTACTGTATAATAATCCACCAAGACAGAATGAACAAAGAAAAGATGATATGATTTTTGATAGTGATGTTTAAGATATGTATGGTGAAGAATAGTATATTAAAGACATAAAAGCTATCATAATAGTTTATGGAAACCAAAGCTGGGAGGATCCAGGACATGAAAAATTATATCCAGCACCACAGTGGAAACGTCTACCCCTGAGCAGCTTAGGAGAGTTCATTTTTGACCTTTGTCTCAGAGAGAGCTACATAAAGTCTCTACCCATGAGCCCCCCCCCCCCCGCTATCTAGACCTATAGCAGCATGACTAAGAGCAGGTCCAAGACAAAGAGAGGGTGTCTGCCTCCCAAACTGAAACTGGGAGACACTTGATAGCTGAAAGCTCTGGCTCTAATCCCACCAAAGATTTTAGGGACAACAAATAATTAGGGACAACAAGTGATCCTGTCCTGACCTAATGATCTTGAATGATTTGTTTCAACTGCTGATTCTTCGTGACTTGAAGACTCTTGGTTTTTGGTGTTTGGACAGTAAAGCCATATAAGAGATTTAGTGGCAACATATTGTCACACCATCATCATACCTCAAAACCTATTCTACATTGTTGCATTTCATGTCTCTTGGTAGGTTATCTGCCAGATGCACCAGTTAGCTGACCTAAAACTGGAGGTATATGGATTTAGAATCTGTTATCATCATTTTTCATTCATTATTTTAGGTTTATTCAACGCCTCCCATGCCTACAAATGTATTTCACTGAGCTTGAGAAAACAAGTCTGGTAAATGTTCACTCTTAAGTTTTAATTAAATGTCTAGTCAGGCAGTCATTACAGAGAGATTTACTTTCCAATTACATTTTCTTTGCTTATAAAGTCAGTACAAACATTATGCGTGGAATCTGGCATACGATTTGTTCAATTCTAGGTGTACAGGTCTACTAAATGCAACATGTCTTTCATCATGTATAGCACTCTATTATTATTATTATACAAAACATCCATGACTTAATTGAACATGTATTGTACTAACACAGCTAGGTTCCATCTTTAAACTACACAAAAGAAGAGTCTCTAGAGATAAATGCTGTTTAAACAATGGATGCTACTGTTTGCTTTTTGGAATTGTTTCAGTCAGTTGTTTATTCATTCAACTCATTTCAGGTAAAAAAAAGACCTCAAGAATGAAGTGGTCTGTAAATAGGAAATGTCACTGCTGGATTGTAACATTTAATGAAAACACATCTTTGTTCTTGTGATTGATCAGTATTTTTATAACGAAGTGTGTGTGTGTGTGTGTGTGTGTGTGTGAGCAGAGAAGCCCTGTGTGTTGTTCTGCAGCCCGGTGGGTCGAGATGTCCCAGCCTTGATGGCTGACAGAGTGATGGATGGGACACCGTGCGGACCATATGAAGCTGACCTGTGTGTTAACGGGAGGTGCCAGGTACAAACACAAAGACACACACACACACACTGTTTAAAATCATGTCATGGGACGGTTCACACAAAGTATGATTGGACTTCCTTTTTCCTGGTGGTCCAAGAGGGACAAAGTCACAGCTTCCTTGGCCTGTGTGGCAGCACTAATCCTACTGAATCTTCAGTCAGCCATTATTCTTTTGAAAAGAACAGAGCTGTCAGCTGATTACTGCACCAAGGTACAAGGCCCCAAACCTGAGTGGGAGAACCATGGGTCAACCATAGGCCCCTTTCTCAATGTTTCAGCATTCCACCCTCTTCTGATCCTTGGTCATAGAGCAAAGTCAGAGAATGTGGGAAGACAGTGCTGTGAATGTGCTGCTGTTTAACCTCTACTCACTAGAGTTTACACAAGTCACTTTACACTATTCAGGGTTCTGTCTGAATAGCGCAAGTACAATTTTTTTCCCACTGTTTGTAGAGATTTTGGTCAGAGGAGCATCAGCTCTCTGTGGAACTCGGAGGAGTCGCAGACAGGGAAAGAGTGCTGGTGCTCTGGTGAAGTTAAAGTGATAGTTCATAGAAAAATGAAAATTCACTCATTGTCTACTCACCATTATGCAGATAGAGGGGTGGGTGAAGTGTTTGAGTCCATGTAACACTTCGGGATTTCCAGGTGTAAACAGTGTTGCAGACAAATCCAGTACATTTCAAATAAAGGGTGACCGATTCTGCAAATGTAAAAAAACTCAACACTCAAAACGGTGTCATTTAGCCTAAATGTCCTGATATTCTCCTCTGGAGCCGCATTCGGCTGCACATTGCTTCACTGAAAGCTGTCTCCATCTGGACAGCTTTTTACAGCTGTTTGGTTTCCATGTTCACTCAGTGAATTAATCAGGGAAACAGAAATGTTTGTTAAAACCCACAAACCTCTTTAGTCTCCACAGGAGTCTTCCACTTTTACTCTGGCCTTCATTAACAGCTCACCTCAGTGCCTGTGTTGGCACCTGGCTGATCACATAACCGCATCAGAACATAAACATCAGGAATATTAGCTGTTTATTTTAGGTGACTCTAACAGAGTGATCCTCAGCCAATAATCACCAGAATACAGACAAGATAAACATCCCACCTGGGATAAAAACACAGTGAACCATTACCATGTTAGAGGACACCCAGGTTGATCAAAAAAGCATGTGCCTTTTTCAATCAATCAATGAATTGATCAAAATTGGATTTTTATAGCCCATAATCCCAAATCACTGACCACATGAACAAAGTTCCAATATTTAAAACATTGATTAGAAAAGACTGTGTTTGACATATATGGAGAGGTGTATCAATGTTAATATACAAATTAATCAGAGGAGGCCACTGTTCTGTGTCCTACAGCACAAACTGTTTTCATTTAACCATGACCACAAACATTCCTTTAACAAATGATTTATTGTACCTTAACAAGCCCTAACCACAGAAAGAGCAGATCAGATAACATGAAATAGTCTCCTGTTGGCAATGGGGAATCTGGATTCTTGTGTCTTTATTTTGAAAGTCACTGATGGATTATGGAGTTTATTGTTTAGTTTGAAGGCGTTGTGGTGACAGTGAGCTGAGAACAATCCAGATTTGACACTGAAATGGATGAGTGATTTTAGGGTGATAATAACATCAGCAGACATTCAAATATAGACGGTTTCCAGTGTGACGTCTGTAGGATGACCTGATGTTTTGAGATAAATAAAAAAAAGTTTATTCGTTTGGCACTGCTGTAATCACAGGATTCTTTTTACCAGTCATAAAATAAACAGACAAATAAATACAGGTCCCAGTGCAGCATGGTAAAAGAGGTCAGTCAGGGATTAATAAATTAACCCATTCATTAGCAGTTGGCAGTGGTAGAGTGAATGGAGGGTTTATTTGGATCTGGTGTCTCCAACTACAGTCAGTCTTTTGTGTTTATTAGTGAATGTTGGATGCTGGTACATTTGGAAGGAATTTCCCCATCCTTAAGTCCAAGGCAGACAGAGAGAGCGAGAGAGGCTGGTCCAGAAAGTCAAATATGGATGCAATTATTGTGACGCACATGTGCTCACAAAATACTTACTTCACATTTCAGCCATGACTCATGTATCTTTTACTGTGCAAGATCCCTTAAAATGGGTGCAGCTGCAGCACACATTACATTCATAGTCTTTTACATGTTAGCTTTCTCTCTCTTTATATATATTACAGTATATGTGTATGTATTCAACTGAATGATAGTGGCACATGAAGAACTGTTTTAAACTATCTCATCTCACTCACACCTCTCCCAAACCTGAGTTATTGTTTTAGATCCTCTGTGAAAGAAATGGGATTTTCTTTAACTTTAACCTGAGCTATACATGTAAAGTCTAGTACCCTGCAAAAGTTAAAAACACTTAAGATGTTTTGGTTTTCTTTTGCACCGTCTAATCCGTCCCAGATTCATTCTGTGGCATGACCTCAAACTCTCAGCCAGTTACGAAGAACTATCTTCAACCACTTGAAGAATTAGGAGTCCTGCAACAGATAGGCCTGGAGTGGGCCCCACAGATCCATGATCTCAGCATCATCCAGTCAGTCTGGGATCACATGAAGAAATGAGAACAACTACAGAGCTGTGGCAAGTTCTTGAAGATCCTCAGAGAAAACTGCCAAGTACCTTGAAAGAAGTTCAAACGTGTGCACAGTACTGCATGCATACATGTATGTAATGTATACACACCAAGAAATGAATAATGTGGAAAGTGCCATTGTGCTGGTCCTCCATATCTTACAGGGCTAGTATAGAGATAAAGGCTGTGTTCAGTATTCATGTTTTGAATTGAGATGACCCTCATATTAGGGTCACAGCATTGTTGTATTGTTGCAATAAGCCAGAAGCAGTGGTGGTGACAGAGCCCGATTTATGTCAGCATAAAGGGAGAGTGGGCATGGTGGGACGGATGTTGACGCTGTTGTGTTACATGTCAAGTGTCTGATTCCAGAATGCTACCTACGATCACAATTTTGACCTGTCGACTTTAAGTGCTTTAGAATGTATGCCTCATACACACATTCACACACTGATGAGGCATCAGGAGGAGTTAGGGGTTCAGTGTCTTGCTCATGGACACTTTTACACTTTGGCATGGCTCAGGTGGACGGAGGTACATCCTTCATGCCCATGTGTAAGTTAATGAAATGGTATAATAATCATTTAGATTACTATGGAAAATGAGAGGACACGTTTTATCTTCTGTCCTCTGAGACCTGCGAGGTTCAGCATCAAAACCCAACCCATTCCCTCCATCTAAGATTGTTTATGGTTAAAAGTATGGCATACCTGTAGTTTGGTTTCATCAAAGTCCACCAATCAGTTCCATTTTTTATATAATTACTGAAGAAGGCCAACGTTTGTATGAAATAGGCGAAATAGAAGTTTGTGTATCCATTAGCTTAAAGCTCCAGTGTGTAAGATTTAGGTGAAAGGGATCTACTGGCAGAAATGTAATGTAGAATAACCCTCATGATGTTTTCCCTAGTTAGTTTCATCTAAATAATATGAATTGTAGTTTCTTTAGTCCACAAAATGTCCTTTATATTTACATAATTTATATTTACATCGAGGGGACCCTCTCTACAGAGGCTGCCATGTTTTTTACATTAGTCCAGACTGAACAAACAAAACACCTTTTGAGTTTTTATGACAACTGAAGTTTACCACAGGTTCTTTTTCATGTTTGGAAGGAGAGGGGGAGGTGAGGGGTGTTCAGCTGCAACATGCAACTTCAACACTAGATATCACTAAATTCTACACACTGTACCTTTAAGTTCAACATCACCACCTGATGGTCACTGAGTAACAGATGACACCAGGACAAGCCAAGCTGTTACACTCAATACAACACTTGAATACACCACACACAAAACACACAATTGCAAGTTGTCTGAACATACAGTAAAAGCCCATCCAAACCGAAAGACAAACCACACAGGGACACACGTCAGCGTGTATTACCACGGAAACTCATCAGTGTTTTGGTTCAGTTTTGTTCTTAATTCCTTTGTTGTTGGTAGAAAATCGGCTGTGATGGCGTCATCGGCTCTTCGGCTAAAGAGGATCGCTGTGGCGTTTGCAATGGAGATGGGCGCTCCTGTAAGATAGTGAGAGGAGACTTCAACCACACTAAAGGAATGGGTGAGTGTGTGTCTGTTTAATATCAAACTAATATACCCTGTATGTGTTCATATATGTGGTGGCTTTCAATAGAAAAATCAGGTTTCCAACCATTTATATTCACAGATGAAGCGATTATTTATTTGATTTATATTTTTTGATTTATATATATTTTTTAAATAATGATCAATGACAAACAATGTGTTTTGTAAGTGTCTGGTATAAAAGCCGTTTGTACGCAAACTAAAATACAAAAACACTTGTTTATTTAAGTTGTTGAATTATTTGGGCATTAAATGCATTGGTCCAATTTAAAAGATCCTGGCACAATCACATTGGCCTTCAGTTCTGGTCAAACACCAATGTACAGTAGATTTCACATGGTCAGACACAGAACCCCTGCTGTGTCACACTTCATTTATATCAGCCTGCCAGTTTTGAAGAGAAAGAGGTTTATGGTACGACAAATGTTTCTTTTGTTTGCATTGGTTCTCAAAGTATTCCAGGGATCAACCAGATGTGTTTTATGGGCTCCAAAACAATGAGAGGCTTCACGTCCAAATGGTTCAGTATTGATCTGATATGACCACGGGGAGTTGTAAACACAGGCATCTTCATTCCTACACTAAAAGTTGAGGATTTAAATGCAAACAGTACAATATTGGACCTACTGTACTCTGATCTATGTCAGTGGTTCCATGTGTAGTATAATACAGTTTAGAGGGTTGGAGCACACAGTTTATTCTGATAGAAAAGCAGCACAACAACAGTTCACATCAGTTGTATTGGTGTCTGTTACACTTTTTTACATAAATAAAAGCAAGTCCATGGTTGACAATCTCAGTGAACATTCCTCAACTTGACCAGAGGCGTTTGAACACACATTCACACATGCATGCTGAAGCATCAAGATATGCTACTTTACCAGGCAAGGGCTGTCCTGACCAACTGAGGGATCACTTTGATAATCCAGTACAATAAATGTGAAGCAAAAGTCTCAGAGTTCTCATTCATTTTATTAGATCTTGAAACCTGGAATTAACCTGCAACATTATCAATTGTGTATAAGCCTTGAATGATGATGATGATGATGATGATGATGATGATTATTAATATTATTATTATGAAGCAACCAATGTTTTATATTCAGTGTCTTAAGCTGACTAAGTTGTCACTAAACTTAGTTTCAATCCTATAAGAAATGATAAATAGTGTGTAACATATGCAAATATTCGTACTGTTGTGGTTTTATTGCTGATATAATTGTACTCACATGAAGCAATACAGATAAAGAGTAACCTTGGAAAATGAAACATTACTTGTATCTAGATTACACCTGTGACCACCAAGTCTTTCCTCTGCTGAATTTGGGAGTAAGGTTTTCCAAATATCCAATCCATCACTTTAAAACCAAACCAATAGAACTAACCAAAAGAATAACCTGACAAATCATACAGCAAGTAAATGTACTCATAGTTAGGTAACACTACTTCTTTATAAGACATAATTGTATGTGAAATACTTGTCGACTCTGTCAGACGACTTCACTGGATTTACAGCTCCTGGTTGGCAGGATGTCCCCCTGAATTAAAGGACACACACTTTCTCACCCTCTGCTCCTCGTAATCCTTCATCATGTTTTGTGTGACCAGCGGTGATCATTCAGGTTCTGTAGCAGTAGCCTCTGTGGAATTAATAATCAGTCATTATCTATCACACATGGAGCCACAAACTGAGCCAGAGGAGGCGATAATAACTGGAACGAAAGCCTGTTAAGTGTGTCTGTGTGTGCGTGTGTGTGTGCGTGTGTGTGTACACATGTGTGTGCACATGCTGGTATGATCCGCAGGACATGTGACCTCCCTTCAACTTCCTTGTCTTGTCCTCCAGTCACCACTAGGCAGTGTAAGAGGGTATCTACCTGTGTGATGGCTAAACCCAGAGCTGTCCCCAAGTGTTTCTCATGTAAGATGCATGCAGTGTGTGTGTGTGTGTGTGTGTTTCCTGCACTACCTGGTGTGTTTTATCGTAGGTAGATGAGAGAAGCAGTTAGTTGTGGGCTCCCCTGGGAGATTTAGTCTGAATCTTAAAGCTTGGTTAAAGTTACATAACCAGCTGTTTGACCCTGTTACCCCATAACCCAGCCGTCAGGAATGCCAAGGACGGAATCCAAGCTGTTTCCTTCTCCCTGCTGCTGCTGCCAAGAGCTGGAGCAATAGTGGAGGGGGAGGAAACAGTCGTCTGCAATAAAATGCCTACGTTCACGCTCCTGAATCCCAACCCAGTACACACATCTGGTTCTGCTCCCAGCTTAGAAGTTTGACATACAAAGCACTGTATAAAATGCCCTACTTTTAACATATGGCATTTGCTTCTTAAAACGTCATATGAGTTTCTTTGAAACCCAGGTGAGCCCATGGCAGTCTGTGTCTAACCATACGTGGATGGGCAGGGTGGTGGAGGGTTGATGGATATGATTGGCTGGTGATCAGGAACGTGTGGGGTGTTTGTTCATAATGGATACAAGTTGTCCAAATGCTCGGATAAGATCTGTACAGGTTCAGTTTCACCCTGGACTCTCAAAATTTTGTGTCATGAACGCATCCTCTTGAAATGCAAATGCCATATCTGCACATGCAGATGAATTATTTGCCCTCACTGTGCAAGGAAATATGGAAAGACTTCTAAATAAACAGCCAGTAGACACACATTGATAGTAATTGAAAGTATCACATTTTCCAAAGTCATTTGGGTGAAGAGTGAAAACATTTTTTTCACTGAGAAAAACCTTCAGTGACATTCTTAGCTCAGATACTTGTTGCTGTCGTCACACCTCAGAAAGGCCCGTAGCTGCCAAATGTACCTCCCTCATAGAACCCTGATTGGTCTGAACCACCATGGTTCGACCACTGGCGAGTGGTGGAGTATGACAGTTTTAACATTCACCTACCACAGGTCAAATTTGCATTTCATTTTTGGGTTCATTTTACAACATTTTTGCCATTGTCTCGTCTGTGTGTCTGTGTTCGATGTCACCCAAAACTGGCTGTCAGTCACTGTCAGAGCATCCTGCACACTGTATCATGCCACTGTAGCTGTAACTGCTGTGTGTTGGTGGTAAGTGATGTTGGTCATATTGGTGTCTGGAACTGTAACGCACTGTATAAGATAATAATGTTGGGCATTATTGTGTACCAGAACAAAGCAGCTCATTCGAATCACTTCAAGCATTTGAGTCCAGCTCTTTCTGAGAGCTTTGAAATCAAGAATTGCATTTTCGTGCTATTAGTTTTAAAACACCTGCTCTACTCAAACATAATCAATTAACCATTTAACATTTTAAAATCTAAATATTTTTCATTTCCATCAGGCACAGTAATATTTTACATATCTGTGGGTGAATGGATAGATCAGCTGTGACTCTGACACAGGAGATAGCAGTTCTCTGGGTCAAACCAAGCCCACAATGAATAAGCGACAGATCATAAAATCACTGTGTAAATCGTCTAAATCATAAAAATTATTTTGTAATACTGTGTGACAGCTACACAACACACCGTGTAAGGGAGATTTGAGATCATATCTTGTCTTGCAGTTAGGGGGCCACTTTGCATTTCACTCACCAGCTTAATTTCTCTAAAAGTCATAGACTCGAGATATAAAAATGGACAGCATGATAGCTCTGAAAAGAGCTATAGCTCATACCCCATCCATGTTAGCATATGAGACATGTTCCAAACAAGTCAAAGTACACATGGTTTTTGTCATTTACAGTATTTCTTATAACACCGGTGTGCTCATTTTTCCTGTCAATTTGGTTTTAATTAATTACAATTTGATTTGATAAAAACAGGGTGACACATCATGATTTACAGCTGAGATTGTCTTGCATTTGGTCGAGCATGTGTGCTTCACTACCGCTGCTCCATCACCCAAGTGTTACTGTGCAGGCTTCTCGGTGCAAGATGGTAGCAGTAGCATTCATATCCAGGATATTTTGCATTCATTTCTGGAAAGTAGGAGGAAGTTGAGACATCTTTATATACTGTGGATATTAAAAATAAATGAACCTGCACGGTCACACCCCCCAGGCATTCAAGACTAGTAGAGCTGGGGTATCTTGAATGAAAGCTCTATATTATGCAAACCAGCTGAACTTATTAAAAAGAGTATTACTCTGTAACAGATGTAACTATAAAAATGTAATTGTCTTAGCCTTATCTATATTTGGTGAAGTGATAGTCTGTCATACCTCCAGGTTGATCTTGATCTATTTTGTAGGAATGAAAGTGAAGTTGCTATTGAACTCAAGTGAAGTCCTTTGTGCTTTTGACCACTGAAATACTGCAAACTGGAGTCATTGGTCAAATAGTTGGTAGCTGTCAGATTGAGCTGCTTTGTATTGAAATAATGCCCAGCAAGTATAAAAGAGGTGTGCTGTTTCTGGAGGAGGGCTGGCGGCTGGTTGTGTTATTGGGATGCCAAACTTAGAAAGTAAAGTATTGTAATACTTATTCAATGGTAATCTAATTGTGTTATGGTGCCTAACGCATCACCAACCCAAAAATAAAATAAATAACTTACCGGTGTTCAGAAAAAATATATACAGCTACAGTCCTGCCCAGCTATGTGGTCAGTGATATTATTAGTCCTATTGTGATTAATATTAATAATATAAACCAACAAACCTAAAAGAGCATCTAACTTACTGTACCTGGTCGTTCATAAACTGCTTAAGCTTTACTTTTCATATTTATCACTTTTTCCGTTCCCTGACGTCCATTTGGTTCTTTCCGATATAAGTAAACTTTAATTTACTGATGCAGAAGCAGTAGTAAGCAGTTGACTAGGGGCCTCATTTATAACCTTTGCGTGTGCATAAAATGGGTCCTGAAAGATGCATACGTCACCTCTCACGCAAATGTTTGGATTTATAAAAACAAACTTGATGGTAGAATGTGTGTACTTCCATGCTGGCTCTGACCCAAGTGCATTTTGGAGACTTGAAAACGACGATGCAGATGTGAGGAGGCTAATTGAAGCCAGAATATTGATCCACTTTATATATATATATATATATATATTATATATAAGAACCTTCAATTGAAAAATATATAAAATAACCGACAGCAAACTACATTCAGATATCATTAAACAGCAGAGTTGCCGAGCTGAGTCATTAACAGTTTTTATTAATATCTTCTAACACAGTCATCATCAAGGACAAGTGTGTGTAAAACTGCTGTCGTGGACGTGACTGTGCCATCAGGCGTCCAGGAGATCAGTTACAAAAAATAAAGAAAAACTGTTTACTTTCAAACTTCCATTCCAAATAATATCCCAGAGTGGAGGTTAAGATCCCACTGAGGTGTGAAGTAATCAGTCTATGTAATTATCTAGTAATCAGATTGCTCTAAATATAAAGATAATGCTTGTAATACTGCGGATGCACTGGCATTGAGGACTTTGCGAATGGAAGTCCAGTATGACACAGATTTACACGATGGAACCGGACTAGTTCAGGTCTGTGTGTCGCTTGATGCCGTGACTCTGTCATGAATCATTATGGAGACCCATTGGTCAGCAGGATAATTTAATATTCATTCGGTGCTTTCCATTGACCATTTATGGTTGAATGTGGGCGTGTAGAGGGCGGGATATGAGGCAGCTCCACATACAAATGTTTCCAGGTGGACTATGATTTACGAAGGGAACATTGCGATCAGGTGTGCGTGCGCACAGTTTTATAAATCAGGTTTTTTTTTTGCACACTTTAGTATGAATCCTACGCACTGTTTTATAAATGAGGACCCAGGGCTTGACTCAAACCTACAGAAACTGAAAACAAAATCCAATCATGCTCAAATCTTTACTTATAAAAGTCTCTTATTATTGTCAGGGGGTATTGCAAATGAATGGAACCCAATGGAAGGGACATTTAAAGCAAAAACACATCATTCTAAGCTACAACTAAAACTCTACAACATGTTTGGTAATGGGTCGTGAAGTTTTGATAATCTGTAATAAAGCGTCCCTTAAATGACTCAACCCTAAGAAGGATATTAAAAAGTGGGACTGAAAAATGTCAAAATGTCTAATGAGGGAGTGCATTCAGGTGTGGTGGATTGAGCATCTCTGAAATAGACACAGGTCTATAGGTCACCAGCCCGTCCCTGTCTCCATATCCACCTGTGTCTGTCTCTAAATATGTTTTCACTCACGTATCTGTCTTTCTATCAGGCTACATCGAGGCTGTGGTTATCCCTGCAGGAGCCAGGAGAATCAAAGTTGTGGAGGACAAACCTTCACATAGCTTTCTAGGTAATGATGCATGTGTTTTTACAGGGTGTACTCGGAGACGTGTACACAAACATATATCATGTTTGTGTATGAGCATTTCGCACATTCTGCCAATGTACATTCACACACAACTACTTGAGTGCTACCACAATGCATATTCATGTGATCCCCTGATTATTTATATATTATCTGAATGAAAAACATGGTGGCGTTTCTGTAGCTATTTGGAAACTCTGTAATGAAAGTTTTGAAGCCTGAACTGATTCTTGTTTTCACAGACTGTGCATTGTCTCACTAAAAAGATTTTCTAAGTGTTCATACTAAAATCAGATAAAAAAATTAGTTAATGCTGATACATATGCACATTGAAAATTGTGCTGGATTGCTACTCCCTCTGAAATAAATGTAAGACAATTGGAAAGCATCAGAAATCCCCACCACAACCTCTCCAGCATCAGAAGGTGTGGGAAGCTACAACTGAAAAACCAAAATCTGACGATCTCCATTTATGATTTATGTGTCTCCTCTCTCATTACCACAGTCGACTTTTCAATACACCTTCCAGTGAGGTCATATAATCAGATATGAGGTGATAAGGGAACTCCTAAAGTGCTAGATGCTATTGACTGGAGGAACGTACAGGGAATAAAGCTGTTTCTAAAAAAAAAAATATGTGAATCTTTATCATTCAAACTCTAAATTCAAACTCAGTCTCTGCCATATTTTCATTGGAGCAGGTTAGCTAATCAGTTCAGCCACGCCTTTATTGAGGCAGAATTCAAGGTTAATATGAGTCCCTGGGTGGGTTTAGCTCACATTCATCAGTCTCTGATGAAACAAGAGGACACAAATGTTATAGAGGCAGCCAGACAGAGAAAAACATGAGCACTTTAAAGAAACTTCTTGTGATGTTTCCAAGGATACACAAAGCAGCAGCTGAATATCACCATGTGGCAATAGGATATTTACATTGACACTACCTTGACTCTAGAATTTTTCGGCCACAGATACAATGTCCGCTATTGTTTTGGCCTCATCTGGGCTTTATGATTTTCTTTTCTTAACTTGAACCCACAGTAACAGAAAGCCAATGGATAGCTTTGCCATTTAAAACTTGTATTCAAGGCTTACATTTAGGTGGACTAATATATTGGTCTTATGTTGGTTTCACAGTCCATCATTTCTTGAATCTCACACATATAACTTGCTGAGATTGATCACATGTTATACAAATGTTGCTTTAAATTCAACTCAGATTTCTGTTCATGATCTTAAAAGACAAAATAATGGAAAGCCCAGCTCCACATACTCTAACAGAGTGACGTGTCCCTCTCTGGACATGTGGTGAGGTAATCAGTTGGCTTGTCTTCAGAAAACCTACAATCCACTTCAAGGGTATCATCAGGCCTGCCAGAGCTGCCTTTTTTTGGTTAGAGGAAGGAAAAAGCTGAAGAAGCAAGGGACTCTGACCCATGTAAAATATATTTTTTTAATTTTTGATTAAATCCTTTCAAAGGAAGTTTAGCATTTGGCCAACACATAAGGGGCATTCTCCAGTTCAACTTTTACTGACTGCGTCCAGGAGGAAAACAATTACTCACAAAGCTGCAAGTTGAAATGTTTGCCAAAGGACATGAAAGGAAATCTGAGGGACATTGGCAACAAATGATTTGGTCAAATGAAGCAAAGTTACATTTGCTGGCATCAGATCAAGTCCAGCATGTTCAGAGTTGACTTGCAGTACCACAGTGACTGACCAACATGTCAATGATATCACGCGAGTTTGTAAAGTGTTTGCAAGTTTGTTGTAAAATGTAGTAAAGCCCCTGCAGACCAGATGAAAAGAATCATTTGTGAATGATATCCACAAAACTTGGATCATCCATCAAACCTATCATCAAAAATATAATAGTGTAATATAACAAAATATAATAATGTAATATAACAAAATATGAGAAAGCACTCTTACTAAGTAAATGAATTAACCTTTTGTTGCAAGTGGTTCTCCATAAGTAGACAATGTGAATGTGTTGTGATTTTAATGCAGTTTCAATGTCTGCTCTACTGAATCTTCAGTGTAAAACTTTAATCAGCTTAAAGGCCCACAATAGTACTATGCAGACTCTCTGTTGAACAACAGACACAACCAGGAACCGACCTGTGATATCAGCTTATGTAGAATTGGACCTGACTAAATGGGAAGATCATCGGATCATTATTCCATGTCAAAGGCAGGGCTCTGCATAAAAACGGTGTTACCTCTGACCTCTCATATCTTCCTCAAAGCCCTGAAAGACTCCAGTAAGAGATCCATCAACAGTGACTGGAAGATTGAGCTTCCAGGGGAGTTTGAGCTGGCCGGGACCACAGTGCGCTATGTGAGAAGGGGACTGTGGGAGAAGATGTCTGCCAAAGGACCCACTAAGACGCCCTTACACCTCATGGTAAGCACAGTCATTCTGTCCCTTGTTCTTCTTTCATAATACACACTTAAATGCACATTACATCATTTGGTCATACTAATAATACACAACAGTCCACATGCACAGTCTTTGTTCAATCAGGTGCCGATTGGTCCAGGAACATGAAAATAGGCCTCCTTCAACTAAGTATTAGACATACACTGAATAAATTTACCAACCACATATGTGATAGCTGTTCTCTCTTTGATTCCAGACAATTTTTGGGGCCATTTGGGACCACAAGTCATGAACACAACATTGACATATCAGCTGCTGTTGGTAATGAGGTTGATGGGAGCACTAATACTAAACAGGCTGGAAACCCAAAACAATGAACTGAATGGGCGTAAAAGGAAATGACGGTAGAGAGCTTAGGTTTTGTTGGCATTTACATTTTGTGGTGGTAGCCAATATTCTGGCTCTTGGCTGTATGAGCCATTGTTTGGCTAGTAGCCTCCATGTTGTTCTTTGGGAGGAGGAAATTAGAACCTTGAAAAAGGTCAAGCAAAACCTCTACATCACTTTCCATCATTTCTATTTGGAGAGACTTTTCAAGAGCGGATCTCTTTACAGGGAAGGTAGTTGAGATCATCATGTCATCATGATGGGGTCAATTCCATGGATACAGACTCAAATGAAAGACTACACTATACAGCCACATACAAGTGAACTTAGGAGGAATACATCGCAGTACATCCCATCCCTGTCAAGATTTAGAAGTGACAGTAACAAATTTGTTGTCTATCTTTCTTAAATGCGAAGATCAGTGTACAAATCACAAAACCTAAATAATGTTCAAAACTTGATGACCAGATAAAATACAACTTGGCTTTTGTCAGATTTGTGTAAGCAGGTGTCTGTACTCTTCAAAGATTGTTTGTGAGGGAAGAACCTTCTTTCTGTATTACACAACTGCAACACTTTTTGTAGTTCACACAACTCTAAAAGTTTCCTAAAGTCATCTCAAACTGGTTTCATGAACATGATCACTGGTCACCAGATGTGATCCAGTAGAACCTTTGGGATGTGGTACAACAGGAGTCTAGTAACATGAATGTGCAGCTGACAAATCTGCAGAGATGATGTGATGTAGTCATGTCAGCCTGAAGTAGAATCTTAAAGGAAGGTTTCCAATAACTACCTCTTGTTAGTAGGGTGTTAATAATGTGCTCTGTGAGTGTAGCTCTACACTTAATTTGCTGAAAAGAACACACACAGTCACCCCGTGCAGAGCTGGAGTCATGGTTTAACAGCTGATTACACTTTTGGGCATAACTGTAAGCCATTGGTCTGGAGTGTAATGGAAGCTAATGAATCCCATGTCTGGGATTTCCATTTGTGACTAAGGGCTCTATGTTCATGATCTGTGTATGGTCTAAAGCACATGGTGCAATTGCTCTTATAATGGATCCAAATACATATGTACACAATGTTCTTAACGGTTCAACTTTAGTATCATCAGCCCATAAAACATTTCCCCACCACTGTGGAGTATCAGGGTGCTCTTTGAACTACAGACTCTATATTTTGTTCCTCTGTGTAGTAAGTGTAGATGAGCCCAGTTTTCTTACCCTTATGATGTCAGTGCCAACAGGTTATGGGCCCAGGAGGGAACTTGGAAGCAGATGGCATTGGCTATGTTTTCGACGGAGATGAGAAGAATTATGAGTTATAGGAGACTGCGTTTTTAGGCCACCTGCGGTTGTTCGGACTAAAGGCGGCCATCTTAGATGTGTCAGGTGAGGCAGACGAAGGTAGCAGTGAAGCTGAAAAAATTAAGAGGTTTACGCCGAGTTGACAGTATTTGGATGATAAAAGTCTTTCCCTGATATTGAGAGAGGCAGCGGACCACTGGAGAAAAGCCTTTTAGATATTGAGGGGACATTACACTGGAAAAGGGAAGCCGTCAGATTTTTTCTAAACAGAGCTAACATTCTTTACTGAAAACCACCAACGAGAGCATCATATTGTTAGTGCAGAAACGGCTATCACAGCACTGAGAAATAATGGTAGACACTAAAGCAACATCACACAGAATTATGAACATGGAGAAGTTTAAGATGTGTGATGAAACTTTCCAGCCAAAAGTTCACTTTGTGGAGTTGGCTCACGGTCTTTGAAGACAGGTGAGGCGGACTGCAACGCTGAGGGATGCTCTCTACATACTGTCATATCCACAAGACATTTTCTCTGTCTAAGCAGCATAGGCAACGGAGCTGCAGTGAACTTTTGGTCTTATAACAAGGGAATGTTTTCAGAGTAAGAACAGATGAAAGAGCAAAAGCACCACTTGAGCTTGTGCACACTGATTTGGCAAAAGATACCCATTAGCATTTACGATGACTATTCAGGGGCAGTGTGTATTTCCTGAAAAACAAAGAGTGATACTGCCAAAGCTTTGTTGTTGATGTGGCACCTTATTTCACCTTACTTATTATTTATTTACATTATTTACAGAGCACTTGTTGCCTGTTTATTACATTTTCATTAATATTGAATGTATTGGATGTCCAAATTGCACCAAACTTGGCACTGCACTCCCTCTGGCAATATAAAATAGACATACGAAGACTGGAGCCGATTAGATGAATGGTTCACGAGTTATGCAATCCACAGAGAGACAGACATCTGAGGAATTACTAGGAAAATAACGTCAGAGTTTATCAGTCAAAACAAGGCACTACCACCTCATCAGTCACCAAATAAAAACATATTATCATATAATAGCATTAGCTAACTTGGTGAGAAAAACATTCAATTTCTTATTGTAAAACAATTCATATGCATCAACAACAGGAAGTGTTTGGCTTACATTAACACAACTCCATTATGGCTGGAAGTGATCAGTAAAACAGAAACATAAGACTAATATCTGGTATTACAAACAGGACTGTGAGTTACCTAACTCGTTGCCACAAACATTCAGATAGAATAGCTAAACACTGAGAGAACACTGAGAATTCTCTATTGTCTCCAGAGCACACACACACACACACACACACACACACACAAGTTTAGCTGCCAAAAGCAAAACTGGCATAGCTGGACCACAACAATGTGGCTCGGCACATCCCCTGCTGTGTGGCTGCAGTGGAAACATCACAGTGGGCCCGCCACAGCAGAGTTAAAGTGAACCAACCTGGGTCCTTGGAAAACCTTAGCAGAGTTGAAATGGAAGCAACCACCATAAACTTGGCCACATTTGCTTTCTATCATTTACTGGTGAATATTGAATATTAGTTTTGCAAATAAACATTAAATGATGATAGAATGAGTGAAGGCTGGTAAGATTAAGATGCAGCGTCTCTTTTGTCTAAACCTCTGTCATGTCCCCAGGTGCTGCTCTTTCACGACCAGAGCTATGGTATCCACTATGAGTACACAGTGTCCCTGAACACATCTCAGGACAGGAGAAATGAGGAGCACAAGGAAAAAGAGTATCTCTACATCTGGACGCACAGCAGCTGGCAGGACTGTACTGTCCAATGTGGAGGAGGTAACAGACTCTCATACATTATATGTTCATGCAAACTATCACTCCTGGACACACACTCATCATCATTATCACATGTCATGTAGAACATCTCTGTGGGGAAACCAGGTAAACAATAAAATCATGTTAAGTTGCAGCAATGAAATTGTGTTTAGAAACATGGTTTACTTTGATTTTAAATTACCTTTGCCATGATTACTATATCTGTTTAGGTAAAGTAGGAATAAGAACTGTGAAGCCATGTTCCTACTCATGTTAATCAGGTCAAAGTATTATTCCAAATCTTACTTCCTTAAATCTTATCTCTATGCCAGTGTAGGAGGAAGAAGAAGAATTAACACAAGTGCATTACTGGCGTGCCAAGGGAACCAAGTTTACTCTCTACCAGCTGTTGACAACAGTGAATCCTTAAAACAGTAGGAAGTAGTACATAACAACTGACCAGGTGTGCTTTGCGTTTGTGCATGTGTGCTTCAGCGATTTAAGATGACAGAGAACCTAAACGTCAGACTGAATTATCAAATTCAACTTGTTATATGCCAACATCAAAGCTCTGCAAAAAAGAGATTAGCTTTATCTTCTCAAATGGAGATGACTGACATAACTCATCTAACAAATAAAGAGCAACATGGATAAGAATGTTTGCAAGGTCCAATTCTTAGTTATTATAAGGATCCTAACACAAAATGTTACAATGAGTTTTGTGTCACAAGGTTGTACAAAAGGATTAGTTTTACTTTTTTTGTTCACTCACTAGAAGTAGTAAAAGATGGACACAAAGTGCATGGTGACAGTGGAAACTGTATAAACAATTTTTACAATAACTTAAATGTTTTTTGTTGGAAGAAATTCTAATCTACTGTCATCATTATGTAAAAACAAATTGTTGACCCCTGATTTACATACAGTCCAATCAGAAGATTATGTGGCAACAACTTGGTTCAAAAAGGTTTTTAGACGGTCAGGTTCAGAGATTAAATTTTTTTTTACCAAACATGAGAATAGAAAGAAATGTTATCCAAGTCCATTGAAGCATACAACAATTGCTGGTGCCAGGTATTGAGGTAAAGCTCAGAAACCCTGGACCCTAAGGAATTTTCAATCAAAATGAAATTAAAGGTCAAAGGAAAGTGACCCAGTAGTTCTAGCTAAAAGGAAGGTGACAGTGACTCAGTGGTATGCACCTTGAAGTAAAGCAGTCCATTAGCATAAGGCAATAGCATGTTCCACTTCTGTCTGCTAAGATAACGACACAAGGCAACAGAAAACTTCATGAATGCTGCAGTAGAATATGCAACAAACACTTTCATTTTGTGCATGAGTAATATCATTTACAACAAGCACAGTGTGTGAAGGTTGTGCACTTGCCTCTGTTGGCATATACAATATTACCATCTTGATAATGCACCTTGAAAATAACAGTAAAATACTGAGCCATAGACTTCAGATCAGGTTTCTCTTGGTCACATTTGCATTCCACTGCCTCATGTTAGCAATACAAAAAAAATTATGCAACTGAAAACATCCCATTTTAAGACCATGGGCACTTAGATGGGCCAGAGTGTATTTGTTATTTAAACCATGTGGGTACTTTTCAGTGAATGAACAACTGCACTGTTCTCAAACTACAAAACACTTGCTTTTGGTGCTGCCTTGCACCAAATGTAAGATAAGGTCCCAAGGACCCACCCTGCTCTTTTTGAGTGGTTCAGGCTGTTACTGGAATTTTTTTTTACCACACAATCTGAACCCTGACATCTCCTGGATAAATGGTTCCACCAACAGGATGATGTGTCTCACCAGCCAGCAGATGCTTATATAGTACCATAGAGATTAGGTTTAAAGAGGTGATTTGCAACTTGATGGATGTGCACTGGTGAAATCTGCAGCCACTTAGTGAAACTATAATGTTGGGATAAGCTACAACCTCTACTGGATGTTTACAGTACCTGGTTGAATCCAAGCTGCTTAGAATGCAGCCTATATGCAAGGGTGAACAAAAATAACAAGTAATGGTCTCAATAAAAGGCTTTGTCACTATGACATGAGTAACATTATTGGCTTAATAAGTTATGTGGGTGTAATGTCTTGGCATGTAACAGTCCAGGAAATCTAAGATCTGATGATAGTTTTGGCCTGTTAGAGCTCATGTGGAGTTGATGGAGGTAGGATTGCAGGGAGTTTGGACAGAGAAACAGATCAGTGTAGAGCCAGCCGCTAATCCAATCCTATGATGATATTTGACATATTTGCCCCCCCCCATTCCCCACCCCACCCCATACACACACAGCACAGGCCAATTCTAACCCCTACCTACCCCCATGCTGATTTCTTGAGCTGCTCTTTTATCCTCTTAATGCGTGGTGATATTAGTATCCAGCTTTCAAAACATTTTAATTTATGAGGTCAGGTGCTTCTGGATTAGAGGAGTCAGCAAAGCAGCCAGGGGTGAGCCCCCTGCTGCTCAACTTATCTCATTTTTAATGGTACATCACACATCAGGTGTTGATGTGTATGCAGTTGGCAGTTCTTGTTAGGACATAGTCTGAAGTGTATAGAGCAAGTGCATTTAGGGTATTTCCATCCCTGTATTGTTTAATGTTGGAAAATAAGGTCAGTGCAACATGCACATTGTTGTCAAGGGTTGTACTTTGTGTATTTATTAATCATGGATGTGTTTTGAGCATAACATGCAATAAATCAGTCAGACTACCATCACCAATTCCCTATTAAATCTTTCACCTTGGTAGTAAGAGAGAACACATCTCTGAAGAGGAAACAGATCTGCTCATGCTTGTTTTAAATCAGATCATCTGTGTGTGTAACAAGCATGTCGACACATATAATGTCACTGTGGGGATACTCGGCCCACTCCGGGAAAAGATGGCTAGGAGAGAATGGCTGTTCACAGTCCTTTATTAACAACGTCAGCCTAATCAGGCACACACATAATAATATATATAATATATATAAATATAAAATAAAATATAAATATATATATATATAATATAATCAGGTCTCTCGAACCACACATGTCCACAGGTCCTCACACGTCCTGTGGTCTGTGGTCAGCCTACTGCAAGAGATCAGAACCAGGTTACCAGCATGCTCATATTGATTGACTGATTACCCGATTCTGCACAGCTGTCTGATCATGGCTGAGCCACTCCTCCCTGTCGTCCAGCAGTTGGCGCCCTAGCCACACCCCGCTGCCACAGTCACCTTTAAAAACGTCATGAGTGCAGCTTTCTGTTGCCTCAAGATAGCGATGGGCTAGCGAAACACCTGTTGACACCTCATTTTAAGACCAACATACGATTGATGTGTTCGGATGGGTAAAACTGCATATGCTATTTAAAGTCATGAAAATGACAATTGTGTAAATAGAATATGCACTTTTTGACTAATTTCCTTGTGTGTTCATTAAAATGTATGCTGTTCTCTAATATCGTCTGAACCACCCATTAATTCATCCATACACCCACGTATCCGCTAGTGACAAGTCTATATCACAAAGTAACATGCAACATGGCTGACTAAAGACTAGTTTGGCCCAAATGTGTACGGCAGTAAGCACATCAAACCTCTGGTTTAGGGTCATGACATTTCCACACACATCCTCAGAGCAGTCACAATTGTGGGTCAGCTGACCAATTAGAGCAGAGGGGCTCGTTTCAACACTGGCCGAGAGCCCAGTCTGCTTGCTGAAAATGTTTGTACCAAAACCCCTTGAAACAAGTTGATTACCGACTTATTTTTGTGTGTGTGCAGGTGAACGGAGGACAGTGGTTTCCTGTATGAGGATAGCCAATAAAACCATGGATGTGGTGAACGATAGCTACTGTCAACTGGAGAACCGACCACAGCCCCATGTGCGATCCTGCAACTCTCACCCCTGCCAGTACCGGTGATGCATGTGCTCACACACATACTCGCAAACCCAAACACACAGTGGTCCTCATAGCTTAGACTCACTAGATAGACTCTATGTGAGGTGGTCTCATGTCTGGTTTGAAATAATTTAACCAAAGAATGTTCTGTAAACCTAAAATGAGTTTGAAAACAAAAACACTTTTAGAGTTTCAGGGGTGAACAGCATTGCAGCCAAATCCAATACAATTGAAGTAACAGGCGATCACGTTTTCAAACTTAAAAAACAACAAAACCAAACAAAAAAAATGGCTCCATACTGCTCCTGTGGTGTCATCCAAGTGTCCCTAAGTCTGGACAGTCAGATTCGACTCAAAGCAGCGTCATTGACACCATGTTTTAAGCCTAGATGTCCACTACTGGAAGTAGCAATGGTAGCAGAAGTAGCGCAATCCGAATGTGCCCTTGGGCGAGAGCTTGTGTGCGGTGTGTGCGAATGTGAATTTGGGTCCAGAGGACGATAGCAGAGGACATTTAGGCATAAAACATGATGTAAATGACGCAATTTTGAGTCAAGGTTAAAGTTTGGGGCTTCCAGACACGTGGATGAGCAGTATGGAGGCATTTTATGGCTACAACATTTTATGGCTGTTTACCCCTGAAACTCCAAAATTGTTTAGTGGAATCAAACACTTCACCCACCCCCCTACCAGCATAGTGGTGAGTAGATAATGAGTGCATTTTCTTTTTTCGGTGAACCATCCCTTTAAACTTTTCAGTTTCTCATTAAAATTATATAGCCTGTTTGAAATGATTTACTTATTTTAAAGGCCCAGTGTGTAGGATTTAGGGACATCTATCAGCAGAAATAGATTATAAATATTCATAATTATTTTCTCAATATCAGTGTATAAATCAACTGAAACTTAGAATCATTGCATTTCATTACCTTATAATGACCCCTATATTTTAACATGATATATCTTCCACGGAGTCCACCATGTTTCTACAGTAGTCCAGAATAGACAGATAGAACTAATCACTGACTCTTGAGAGACCTTTCATGTTCTTCAGGTAAAATAATGTTTTGACATCCAGGAATTAATTTTATTAAAATTGCGAGATGGAGCATTTTTCAACATTTTCATAGATTTCTCAGAGAAATAATCCATGAAAATTAATTATCAAAAGTCCATGTATTCTGTGCAATGTATGCAGTAAGATTGTCGTTTGAACTGATCTAGACAGAAATAGATTAAACTTCTGGAGGTTCTGGGGGGAATTTTAAATAGATATACAGATTTCATTCCTACTTCTCACTTCACTGAGTAGGGACCCTCTGGTAATGAGGAAAGATATTTGATAGAACTAGGCTTTATTTTATCGAAACTGTTGTGGTGTGGGATCAGCATTTCATTGTCAGTACAACTGAAAACACAACATAACTATCTTTTGATAATGTTGCTCCTCTCAAATTTAGATTCTTTTGAATGTCTTTTAAGGTTTATTGCCATCATCACTCAGTAGACAAGCTGACAAATGTGTTAGTTTCCTGATACACACCTCTGTGCTGGCGATAGACTGTGGCCAGAGGCATCATGTTTTTGGATTGTCCGTACGTCCCATTCTCATGAAGAAAATAAGAAGAAGGGAATTTCTTCAAATTTGGTACAAACATTCACTTGGACTCATGGGTGACCTGATGAGAATTTGGTGGTCAAAGGTCAAGGTCACTGTGACCTCTCAAAACAAATGTTTTGCCTTCTGAATATAATCTCTGAAGTTCTGAAGGGAACTCTATTAATTTTGGTGCACAGGTTCACTTGGACTCAAAGACGAATTGATCACAGTTCAGTTGGCTGAGAGACTGGTACTCCAGATCCTTCCCTTGTCCTCTCCCCTGGAGGCCAACGCATTGGATGGTCATCTCGTATGCAAGGTTCATCACAACATACCACCGGTGCAGGTCAGGCTCTCCGACCACCACACCGAGATGATCACAGAGGCTCTGCAAACACAATCCTCATATTGGCTGGTCCTCCGGAGAGATCCTGAGGTGGGGCCAAAGGTGTGTGAGGAGATGTTTTCCCCTCAGAACAACCCTTCTACCCTCTCTGTCACACCTGTCCCTGTGGAAAGGGAGACCACTGATCTCTCCACTGTTCCAGCTTGTTACCACAATCTCTGGGAGGTGTTCAATAAGGTGCGGGCCACACACAATCATCTCACCCTAAGACTGTGCTACTGAGCTGCTCATCGGAACAGCGTCTGTATTCTTTGTCTGCCCCAGAGACCAAGGCCATGCAAGAATATATCTATACCTCATTAGCTGCTGGAATCATTAGACTGTCATCGTCTGCTGCAGGGGCAGGGTTCTTCTTTGTGGATAAGAAAGGGTGGTGTCAAGGATGAGCAGCCGAGAGATCCAGGAGCGCTCCTTAGGGCCGCAAACCTCCCAGTCCGACAGGTACTGGAAGCCTCTGCCCCGTTGGCGAACATCCAGGATGCGGGAGACAGTGAATGCTGGATGGTTGTCGAGGATCCGGCAACTTGCGTGACCCCACCTGGAGTGGAAGGTCCCGGGAGGACAGCTATACCTACTGTCCTTTCCTGTATGTGGGAGCAGAGGTGCGCAGACAGTTAGTCAACCACTCGTTACTGGGACCAATGCTGCCTGAGCCTCCCTCTAGATCCTATGGCAGAAGCGCAGGTGGGACTGAAAAGACGGAACGACCATGTCCTCCTCCTGGGAAGGAAACAAATGGGGTTGGAAACCATACATGATGATGAACGGTGTATACCTGTGGGCCACCGAGGGAGTTATGGGCATATTAAACCCAAGCCAAGTGGGAACTCTAGGATGAGGGATGTCAGGCAGAAACACAGCGTAGAGCTGCTGATGTTCTGATTAGCCCACTTGGTCTGCCTGTGGTTGGAGGGTGATAGCCAGAGGATAAGCTTACTGACATCCCCAGCACTAGGCAGAAAGCCTTCCAAACCTGGGATGTGAACTGGGGCCCTCGGTCTGAGACAATATCCAGGGGAAGACCATGTAACCAAAACACATGCTTAGTTAGGAAGTCCGCGGTCGCCAGAGCTGAGGGGAGTTTGGGGAGAGGGACAATGTGCACACCCTTAGAGAAACGGTCCACAATGGTTTGTATGGTAGTGTGACCTGCCGATGGGGGGCGACAAGTGACGAAGTCCACAGTGATATGGTGCCATGGACTGCTGGGGATGGACAATTGTCGAAGCAGTCCAGAGGGAGGTTGGTGGGAGCTCTTACCGCGACAAAGGACTGGGTGTAGGCCACCAGAAACGTCACCTGATAAATTTCAGTGTGTGTTGGACTCCTGGATGGCACGTTAGTATGCCCCCACAGGAGTACTTGGGATCTGAGGGAATTAGAGGTGGTTAGGAGGACAGTTACCTGGGCCGTGGTCAGTCACTTGGGCCTCCTCAATCCAGCATTCCACTTCCCAGAAGGCAGCTGCCACAATATATAAGGGAGAGAGGATGGACACTGGGGAATTGCTGTTGGTCTCAGGGGCTGTTGGTCAGGAGAGGGCATCAGATTTCTGGTTCCCGGAACTGGGTCTGTAAGTGAGAGTGAAGTTAAATCTTCCCAAGAAAAGAGCCCACGTAGCTTGCCGAGGATTTAATCTCTTGGCTGACCGGAGATAAGCTAGGTTCTTATCGTCAGTCTACACAATGAAGGGATGCTCCGCCCCCTCCAACTAGTGCTACCACTCCTCCAGAGCCAGCACCACAGCCAGTAGCTCACTTTTACCCACATCATAATTTTGTTCGGCTGGAGAAAGTCAATGATAGCGGAAAGCATAACTTACCATACTCCGGAGAGCATTGGGAGAGGATGGCCCCAACCTCGGACACAGGGGAGGCAATCTGACCCCAGCGCAGAGACAGAACACAAAGCACAACACAGTACGTAAAGTTCAAGGCTGTATATTTCTCCAATAAAGCTGGATTGAGGAGGATGCGGTTTAGATGACGCAGGTGAAGGAGGTCTCTGTGATGTGGCAAGCACTGATGGAAGGCAGGAGGACCATGTAGTAGAATCCTGGAGGCACATGGAAGAAACAGTGAGAATACAGTCTTGAGTGACATGAGGAAAATAACTCTACACAATATAGAGCAGCCAAGAACCAGCAGCTACCACTGTAGCGCTGAAGACAAACTGGTGATGACTGGGAGAACGACCAGGGTAGATATCCTGCCGGTGATAACCGAATGAGCTGCAGGTGAGGTGGTGAGCTGCCCCTAGACACACCTCCGCTGAGTCATCAGGATGAGCTGGTGCACACCTGCGGAGGGGAGACAAAAAAAGGGAAGGGGAAAAACACAAGGGGGCACAGAGGAGCTGTGACGGTCCTCCAGGACTTGTTAAATAGTTTGGTCTTTGTCTACTTGGACAATATCCTCATCTTCTCCCACCAACAAGGCCACCCATGTTCACCATGTTCTGCAATGCCCCTTGGAACATCAGTTATATGTAAAGGCGGAGAAGTATGAATTCCACGTCATTCCTGGGATTCATCATGGCCGAGGGGGAGATGCACATGGATCCTGCCAATGTTAGTGCAGTGTCAGAGTGGGCCATTCCAGTTAACCAGAAACAGGTTCAGCGTTTCCTGGGGTTCGCCAATTTTTATCGAAAGTTCATTAGGAACTTCAGCTCCATTGCGGCCCCTCTGCACTCATTAACCTCACCTAAAACCAGTCTTTTGTGTACCGAACCCTGCATAATCCAGTAAAGCCTTTTGTACTTACCTGTGAGCCTTTCGAGTCGTATTTGTGTCAGTGTGATATGTACAGTGCATATTTAACACTTAATTGTTGTCTACTTAATCTCAGAATCTAAGAATTTAGAGACAAAAGCAAATCGACTGTATTTAACATACTTGATGTGTCTCATAGGTGGGTGACAGGTGAGTGGGGTTCCTGCTCCGTCACATGTGGTAAAGGTCTCCAGCAGAGGGAGGTGGTTTGTGTTTACCACCTACAGAACGGCTCACTCATCCACACCAGGGGCCTGTACTGCCAGGGAGGAAAACCTCCTGTTCTGCAGGGCTGTGAGGGCCGCCTCTGCCTCACTGTGTGGGAGGCTTCAGAGTGGTCCAAGGTACGTTATACACACACTGGGCTGATGTAATGTGAAAACCATTGCTGGCTCTGGTCCTTGTTTCCCATTAATGATTGATCACAGAAGGGAAAAGTGTTTCCTAAGAGGGTTTCTGCATATGCTCTTGAAGGTATATGTACGTTTTCCATCATAAAATGTGTAAAAACAACTAGACCTGTGTTATATATGTTGTTGCGTTGTGTGCTTACATTATCAAATCCAGTGAAATCTGTCATTTTAATCAATGTAATGGTATGTTCCATTTGGTCTGTCTGTATGGCATCAAAATTGACTTTTTATCCAGTTTTAAGTCACATTTTTATATTACACCTTTTAGATCAGTGGTTTTTAACTGCATATTTTAACCATGTGTAGGATTATAGTAATTGGATGTCTGGATCTCAAGTCATCAGAAAACAATTGTGTTATGTTTGCAACAACGCGGCTCACAGCCCTGCCAAGACATCCTGCGTGCCTGCAGCACAGCATTGGAAAAACACAAATTTTTCTTACAATCTTAATTTGAACATCTGGATTTTAGGTTACCAGAGAAACAAGCTGAGCAATTTCTAGCTGCAGCTCGGCTCACAAACCCTCTGAGACATTTTTTCATATGAAATTGCTTTATTCAGCGCATTCATAGGGTTTGATCACCAGGTCCATCTGCAGATAATTCAGGTCCCAGTAAAAACCTCCTGAACAATTGAAGGAATCCTATCCTGGAAAGCTGACTGCAATGACTACAATGGTGGTGAACTCCCACAATCCCATGCAACACAAAAAAGTCTGTCTTTTGACGTTGTTTTGATTTAGAGACTCCTTGCAAAATTAAATATTACATATTGTGCATTAAAATTCTTGTAAACTTTTGTCAAGTCAACACCTCAAAAGTGAGGATGCACCACCATTAAGAGTGTCTTTAATTTTTTGTCGGCTAAATTGTGACAAAGCAGTATTGAATTAATTGAATTTTTTAATCAAGTAATTTAGTCCATTCTATCTATCCTCACTTTTCCACTTCTTCCTCCAGTGTTCGTCAGAATGTGGTCAAGGTGTTCACCGGCGGACGGTATCGTGTACAAACCCTCAGGGTCTATGTGATCCCTTGTCCCAACCTTCTCAAGAGGAGCCCTGTGAGGACCACTCCAAATGCTATGAATGGAAGACTGGAGACTGGTCGAAGGTAGCACCATCTTCAAAGCCATTGGCTCATGCACAGAATGGTTAAAATAATAATTATCGTTATTACCACAAACTTTTACATGTACAGCACCTTTTAACATTGATCAATATATTCCATTTTATTAAATACTCTGAGATCCTTTTCCATTGAAATACACCTCTGTGTAACTAAGTTGTTCTGCCAAGTCAAGAATTATTTTCTCAGAATAATTTTTAGCAAAACACTTTGTAAGGTGAAATCCTCAGTCCAGATGTTTTTGTTCTTTCCTCTCAATATCCCCTGTAGTGGTGAAAACTAATGATTCCTCAGGCAATCAGTGAAACATGGCCCTCCCATCATTTGCTCTGGTAGATCCCCACAACATCTTCTCACATGGCAACATTGGAGCTAATTGGAATTGAATGCCTTTGTCAAGGTATTGGCAGCAGTAGAGAGGGGCAGGGCTATATGTGTGTTCAATGATTGATTTACAATATTAAACACTGAGTGCATTTTCTTGTCAGTGAGTAGATTTAGAGGATTAGTTCTTTTGACCCTCAGCTGCCCACTGTTCATCAGACAACCGCAACTCTTGTTTTTCTCATCCTCTCATTATCAATTCTCTGTGAAAAAGCAGCTCAATTCATTGGAGAGAATAATTATGCTCAGTAAATAAGTTGTGGTGAAACACCATTCCACTGCTGGAGTATTATCAACTTTTTAGAACGTGGTGTAGCTATAGCAGTCTCACTGGGCAATACTGTCTTGTAGTGCTGGAACATATGGATTATGAACTATGGTGATCCGACTGAATCACTTCGCTAATATCATGTGAGTAAATCTGGTTTTTATTGTGGCCATGACCTCTTAAAAAATGACAAGTGAGTCAGGCTATGGCTGTTAAAATGTATCCTGTTGCTCAAGCTCAACATACAGTGAAAATATCACTCAATGCCTTAAAAGGCGGGCACTGGGATACACTGGTGACCTTTCCAGGATATACCACGCCTAATATCATGTGTCGAGGTAGCCCAAGCTGACGTTGGACGATCAGATCTCACTCTCAAAGGATACGAGGTAAAGATAATGATAAAGTGACATGGACAGTATTTTCAGAAGATTAGGATGTTTCTTTCCTGTGAGATTTGTCTCAAACTAAGGAATCCAGGATTTTGCTTCCATAACTTGAACCTCAAGAACTTTAGCATTATCAAGTCAAAAAATAAACTAATCCCTAATTTCCTGATTGGTCCAACCTCAGACAAATTTCACTCAAAGTTGTCTTGTGGTAGATTTACTTAAATCACACACATACACACACACGCACACAGGATAATCATTTTTGCCATGTTCATGTTGACACTGGGCAGAATGACAAAATTGCCTCATTCTTTTGGTCACAGTAGAACACCACAGGGGAAAACCATTAAGCATGCAGTGAAAGTCTGTTAAAGTCTGTTAAAATCACAACGTTCCACATGAGGTCATAGACACTGGAGGAACTGGCCTCAGCCTCCTTATAGTGGGAATTTGGCCTGAAGCTGCTGTTAAGAAAATAATTCACCATATTGTGTAGCCAAAAGAAGGAGGGACTGGAAGTAGCAAAGAAAGGCTTGTGGGTAGGGATGTCGCAATCAACCGATTTCACGATGTCCGCGTTTTTTTTAAAGTCACGATTTTCATAACCTTAAGAATTGTAAGAACTGCGATATCTATGGTGTCCTGCTTCTCACGCCGTGCTGTGAAATCTCTCACAAGTTACGTATTGTGCGCGCAAGCCACTGAAATGTTAGTTGAAGAGAGGGAACTGACTTAAAGGCCACATTTCCACCAACACTGGACAAACAACTTCATCAGAGGAGTTCACAGTGAGAGGAGAAAAACTTGTTTACTTCGGTTTCTGACCAGCTCGACTGACACACACATACACACACACACACACACCTCTCTTCCTATTAACCATTATAAATGTAGCCAGGAGTTTGAGTCCCCTATACTGGAGGTAGTAATAGTATAAGGACATGAAGGATGTAGCTCGAACCAGGACAGTTTACCTGTTTACTTTTTAACAACTAGTCAACACCCAAAACAGAACAACTTCCTTCAGTAGCCCTACATAAAATTGGTAACATAAAAAATAACCAACTGTGTACTTTAACAACTAACTGGATATTATTGATGATAATAATAAATATTTTAGTTCATTAGCTATTTTATTAGCTATATATTCGCCCTATATTGTTTGTTCTGTGTCTTTTTCCTTCTATAGTATCAATAATCGTGACAATCATCTGGCCTCTTTGTTGTAGAATGGTCTGACAATTAAGAATGAAGGCTGAAGGTCAGATGATTGATCGGAGTCAAACATACACTGCCTGGCCAAAAAAAAAGTCGCCACCCAAAAAAAAGGTCACACTAATATTTCGTTGGACCGCCTTTAGCTTTGATTACAACACGCATTCACTGTGGCATTGTTTCGATAAGCTTCTGCAATGTTACAAGATTTATTTCCGTCCAGTGTTGCATACATTTTTCACCAAGATCTTGTATTGCTGATGGGAGAGTCGGACCCATGCGCAAAGCTTTCTCCAGAACATCCCAAAGATTCTCACTGGGGTTAAGGTCTGGACTCTGTGGTAGCCAATCCATGTGTGAAAATGATGTCTCATGCTCCCTGAACGACTCTTTCACAATTTGAGCCCGATGAATCCTGGCACTGTCCTCTTGAAATATGCCCGTACCATCAGGAAAAAAAAACCCATTGATGGAATAACCTGGTCATTCAGTATATTCAGGTAGTCGGCTGACCTCATTCTTTGGGCACATAATGTTGCTAAACATAGACCTGACCAACTGCAGCAACCCCAGATCATAGCACTGCCACCAAAAGCTTGTACATTAGGCACTAGGCATGATGGGTGCATCACTTCATCTGCCTAAATCCAGACGGCAACTTTCTTTTTGTCCAGGCAGTGTAAATGAAGAGGACCTTTCAAGATGTTGAGTACGACCACAGATCACATTTAAACATGACTAAAATCTGATAATAAAAACAGACGGCCTTCTATAAGTGTGACACTTGTATTCACACCTGTATCAAATTCAGTTTTCTTCATCCACATATTAACCAACAAAGTGGAAAGTCTCATCTCTAGCTGATAATCCTCATCATCCGTTTCAGGAGTCACATTCTCCCATGTTAAACTCTCATTCATATCAATAATCTAGGTTTATTGGTTTCATAGTTTTTCATTGTTTTGAACCACGGCCTCCAGGATTTGCATCAATCAATGTGAAAAATAAGTTTTAGTAACTAGACCTGTTTTAATTTGTTAGACACCTAAAGTATAAATTCAACATTATAGGTGTTGGATTCAATTCTGTATCAGCACACATCCTTAACTGCCATGGAGTAGTTAACAATTGAAAAGTATTTCAGTGATGCATGTTTGATGTATCTCATTTGTTTAACCTGTACAAAAACAATAATTTGTGGGTTCAACAGGATTTACTGTACAGGTAAATACACATTTGAAATGAACAGACCAACCTGGAAAACTGACACCTTCCATCTTTTTAATCTGCTGTTACAGTGTTCGTCATCCTGTGGGAAGGGCCTTCAGTCACGAGTGGTCCAGTGTATGCACATAGTGACTGGTCGTCATGGTAATGACTGCCCGGTGACACTGAGACCACCAACCTACCGACCTTGCCACCATGGTGCGTGTAATGAGAAAATCAATGTGAACACCATCACCTCCCCCAGGCTAGGTGAGAAACTCGCCATGATTCAGTTTTACAGGCTAAAAGGTGTTGTACGAAAAGTTTATCTGCCGTCAAAATGGTTTTTCCTTGCCAGGAGCGGGTGTTAATGTTTGTGTGTCATTGTTGTGTTTACAAGAAAAAAGTTTAGATATTGCCCTCTCAGCAACTCTGCTGTAGCTGTCTGAGATGAGCTGCCATGCTGGCGAATGCACACAAATCTAACGTTTAGCGGGGTGTGTACCGCCTGTCTTTGGGTGAGAAGAACTCTTCAGGCACGTAGTCTCATGGCTCCTGGCACGGATCAGCTGTGAACTGAACACATCAACACCTGTGCATCCACACAAGGTTGTAAATTGCTATGAGGACCATTTCCTACAATCATTCTCGGACATTGGGAGCACTTACACTTACTTACTTACTTACGTACAATTGCATTTAAATGTCTACACACAAAACAATGCTCAAAACATCAGCTGTATGTGCTTCTGTAGCTTGTGCTCCATACACTTTAAATTAACTTTGCATATACATGTATATATAGGGTTAATTATTGATTATCTGTGATCACAGTGACTATCTGCCTTTCTTCCTGTCAGCAAGTTTGATGAAAAGACCATTTCAGAATAAATTTAAATCATGACTGAAAAAATTTAGTTTGTCAATTACATCAGACATAACTTACCTCAGCATTAATGCTGAAACACTCAAGAAGGTCATTAGTTTCTGGATGGTAGGGACTTGTTTTCACTCCTTGAATTCCCAGCATGCTGTGCACCTCCTTCAGTTGGCTAAACTTTGTGCCTTGGTCAACAGAACTGTCTTGTGTTTCCAACTTTCCCACCAATTTACTTACCTGCCGGTGTACATAGATGGACCTCAGCTGTGCTGTTGCCCTTTTGATGGATGATGGGCAGTCAGGAAAGGTTCAGCCAATTCTGCTTCAGAGGATCTCTCTCCAATTCATTACTTTGATGGACCTTGAGTGTTAGTGTTCATAGTGTTCATAATCCACACCCTCGTTTTAAATTACATGTTGGGGGTTATTCAACCAAGGAACCTCACCAGCCTGGAACATTGTCGTCCAGCAGCAAAGGATCAGCAACAGCCCTCTCTTATACTTGAGATGTCAGGTGGTTCTGTTATAGACTCTGTTGAGGGGAGACAGGGTGGCTGCACTACCCTCCAAGAGCTACTGACGGTCCTGTTGCACCCCCTGCTGGAGCTGAGCAAACTTGTGTTGGACTCCCTTCTGCCTCTCTCCCTGCTGCTTATGCTCCTTTTCCGTCCTGGTGTCCCATTTGGCCTGCTGCTTCTGCATCAAGGATCTCAGGAGGGTTAAGTAATTCCACCTGCTCCATACTACTGGTAATCTCAAACCTTTCCAAGTAGGCCCTCACTTGCTTAAAGCCGTTTACTTCCCGTTGACATTTTCCAAACTGCTTCCTGTCGGTCTAGAACACACCTGTTGCTGCAAGTTGTGGGCAAGCCAGAGTGAGCTGTTCGAGGTTTAGGAGGCAGAATCGAGTCCACAATAGGATCTGTTTGCAAGTGCCGCCATGATTTAATTTAATTAAAATTAAGAAAAGAAAAAAAAAGTGAAATTTTCAACAGATAAATCAACTAACAGTAAGTAGTAGTGCTATAACAATAGCATTAACAATAGCATTTACAATGCTATAATAATGGTCGTCACGAACAAAGCCAGGATTGTGGGAACGTGTTTGCAAAGCTACAGAGAGCAAATGGAATATTCTCTGAAACAATGAACAAACACAGACAGATCTTTGTAAGTGTACAGAGTGTAATTGGGGAAAGATTGTGTATTTTCACCCACTGTGTCACACAGTGGCAAAACAGTTTGCTGTCACAAGTGTGAAGCATCACATGTGAATGCTGACTTGCTGTCTTTGTCTCATTTCACCCTCCTCAGCTGCTCTGACCTACAAATGCATGGGGGACCAGTGGACAGTGTACTGCCGCGTGATCCGAGAGAAGAACCTCTGTCAGGACATGAGGTGGTACCAGCGCTGCTGTGAAACCTGTAGGGACTTTTATGCCAAGAAAATACTGCACAAGAGCTAATGACCAAATACACCCACCTTCCTCTTAATAGCCCTCAATTTTGCAAATGGTTTTAATATTGTTAAATAAGAAAACAATTTTTATTATTGATGGAAAAAAATGGCAAGTACACATAAGTGTACATTTGAAATGGGCTTATAAGCTTCTAGTTTGAGGAAGACTTGAAAATGTCCAATGTTTCTTTTGCTGTACACCAAAACTTTTCTAAACAAATGTGGAGTCTAAGGAAAACCAATCCAGACCACTGTATTTCACATAAATGAAAATACGTGCTTGAAGTTGACTGGCAGGTCTATGAGATATCATGGGGTGAAGTCAGAGCTTTTTCTTCTCCTATCTTTTTTAATTATGCTCTCCTTTGTATCTTTTTTTCTCTGTACTGTACTGTATAGCTAATTGTTGCAATTTCAAATAACTAGCAAATAGGTTTATATATAGGTAAACTCACAT